TGGCGTATAATGGTGGTTGTGTGGTTGCCATGCGTGGCAAGGACTGCGTGGCCATTGCCACGGATCATCGCTTTGGCGTCCAGGCCCAAACAATTTCCACAGACTTCAAGAAGGTTTTCCACATTGCTCCGCGCATGTTCCTCGGACTGACCGGCCTCCAGACGGACATCCTGACGGTGCGCGATCGCCTGATGTTCCGCAAGAATATCTACGAAACGAAAGAGAATCGCGAAATGGCACCCAAACCATTCTCGGCCATGCTCTCTAGTTTTCTCTACGAGCATCGCTTTGGACCCTATTTCATTGAGCCCGTGGTGGCAGGATTGGATCCCAAGACGATGAAACCGTTTATCTGCAACATGGATCTGATCGGTTGCCCCAATGAGCCCGATGACTTTGTTGTGGCGGGCACCTGTGCCGAGCAATTGTACGGCATGTGCGAGACACTGTGGCGTCCGGATCTGGAGCCGGATCAACTGTTCGAGGTGATTGCCCAGTCGATGGTGAATGCTTTCGATCGGGATGCGATGAGCGGCTGGGGTGCCACCGTCTTCATTATCGAAAAGGACAAGATTACGGAACGCTCGCTGAAGACGCGCATGGATTAGGCATTATTCATCATTATGTAAAAAACTCTTTAACAAAACCGAAACAAGAAACAAATAAAATTTGTAAGGTTCCCCAAAAAATGGACTCAATTTATTCCCATTCTCTCTATTCTCATTCGTCCGCATATTCCATGCTCATTTTGGCCATTGCCAGAGCAGCCTCTTTTGTCTTGGCCCCACCTATGAAACCCGTGTGATGCACAAAGATTAGATCTTTGACTGCGGCCAGCTGGCTCAATTCCTCGTCACGTAGACCACGCCAGGGGCGGGGCAGAAACTTGCGTCCTTGGAAGCTTGAGGGCGTTATGGGGACGCCAGCAACACGCCAACTGCTGCCATCATTGAATATAACCAGCTTGGGTACACCTTCCAGCCCGTATTCCTTTTCCAGATCGAATAAATGCGCCTTCCACGGACAGAATGTTTCAAGCAAGAGGATTTCACCAGATGCAAGCACCGATTTGGCCTGCTCCAAAGCGTGTCGCACATGATCACGTGCCGCAATCCAAGAACAAGCAACTTCCAGCACATTGTCCACAAACTCTTTACCCGCTGTGGCCATGGCCAGTTGGAAGCGTGCATCCACATCGACATTTGTGTCCTGCCACGAGGGATTCAACATGGCAATGCGTGCGGACAGATGTGTGGAGATCTTGTAGCGTGGCTCGCCACCCTCAAGCATGGGCACCCCGTTGTCGATGGCATCCAGTTCGTTGATGAAATTGCGATAGATTTGCAAAAATGCCAGCTTTAGATTTGGCTGCGACAATTCCATTTTGCGTTCACGTAGCAAAATACTTTGAATAACGCGCTCGCCATAAAAACAGTAAATTAAACCAGCGCTGCTCAGCCTGCAAATGTTCAAGAATTTAATATTAAAGTGATTTATTTAAAGAAACTTTTGCTCACCTTATGTCAAAATCATCGCTGAAATCCGGGCAAACGGTGCTAAACGTATCCTTAAATGTCAACTGGTGATGATCGTACCATTTCTTCTTGTGATCAAATTCACCGCCCACATCCATTATTATGTCGCATTTGTCACGCAATGCGTTGATGTCGCGACTGCGAAAGATTTCGGCATTTTCATATTCCGGCAGCTGTTTGAGCATAAAACACGCAACTACCTCGTCACAGTGAAATATCCCATTGTGCGTGCCTATCGTGAGGGGTGGCGAGCGTTTTGGCGGTGTCGCTGCTCCACTATCTGTTGTTGTTGTTTTGCTCATTTTGTTTATAAATCGAAGCTGACTCCTTGCGACAAATTGTCTTCGAAGAATTGGTAGAACACGCGGGAGAAATTTTTGTGTTACCATTGGGTTTAGTGTGTACACATTTGCAAAGTTTATGAATTGCAGTTACAATTTGAATCGGTGTGTACACACTTTGAATTGCACTATTGTGAATGGCTTCTGCGAACGTGCACAGGGTGTTCACAGTGATGGCGCCAAATACAAAAATTAATGCATGTTGCATTATTTTCACTCATATAAGCATACATTACGCACATTTACGATTAAAGTATGTTTAAGCAGTTTGCCAAGTATTGTAATTAAGTTTATCCAAAAATGTTGTGACGTGACATCCTCTTCAAAACATGTATGCATGTGGGGTTTGTGTTAGCTTGCGCAATTAACAGTTTGCAGCTAATTTGTTATACAAAATTTTTATTGGTTCGCTTAATGCGATTTTTGGCCTCTATTCGCAGAAAATCACGATGACAGCGATTTCAGTGCGCCGCCAGCGTTCAACACTAGCGAATGGATACATAAATAAAATATAAATTCTTAAGTTTTTGAAAATAACGCGTCTAAAAAACAAAATGGTGGAGACTCAATTGCGCCGAAACATTAGTCGACAAATGCCCATGATGTACGTAAAAACAACATAAGAGCATGATAACATACATGCATAAATATGGAACTATAAATTGTAAATCATGGCTATAATAATATTGTTGCCAATTAAGTTGTTACTTACAAAATCCAATTGATTGTTTCGCTTATGTAATGCGGTGTCGTCTGCTGCTTTAAATTATTTAAAATTTCGCATTTCCGTTAATTGTCCAGCGGCCAGTGGGAAAATGTATCATTTGAGAAGTGTCGTTTGTTGCAGTCTCAGTGCAAGTCATTAATTATAAATTAGAAACACTTACGCTAAAGCAAACATAAATCACCTGTAATAGTCACGTGTGTTTAATTCAAATTGTGCGATTGTATTAAAAAGTATCGTTGCTGTTATTGTTGTTGTTGTTGTCTCCCATGACCTTCGTTTGCATGCGAGTTCGGAAATTGACAGGCATTCAAAATGTTGTAACGGAAATGGATGAGATCTACATGTGTATGCGTGTGTGTGCGCTTAACTTGTTGCTGATCACAATGCGAAGATGAAAAATCGACAAAACGTGAGGCATTTATAGTTTGTAACAAGCAAACTTGTTTCGAACAGAACTCAACTTAAAGCAAAGCCAAATTGTTGTAAAGCAGTTTCTAATTTTTTTAGTAATGATGCGTCTAGACAAAAATACATGCTCTGAAGACGATTTTTTTTTTCGTGTTAAAAACAAATAATTGCATTTGTGATTATTATTTAAGTCACTCCAACACCTCATAGGCAATGTTTTTTTCACACATTAGCGAATGCGTGTATAATAATAATAATAAGTAAAACAAATGTGTTAATTCAGGTGTGCCTCCAATAAAATAATTATGTATATTAAGTATCCGTTCAGAGCGTAACAATTTTCGTTTTAATTTCTTATTTATTTCGAATACCGGTTGGCAATTATCGCATTCACTGTTTGCGACAAAAAAACGTACAACAAACTCAGTACAAAAAAAAAAACCGTTTAATTTTTGTATTATTTGCGTTATATGTGTAAATTCTCACTAAGCCTGCCTGCGTCAGTCTGCCAGCATTATCTATGTATGCGTGTATATGTGCACATCTATTTGTGCTGTCTGCTGTCTCTGTTTTTGTTACCAGCTGAAGCTGCACTGCTTTGTTCCGCAACAATAACAATCTGTGCGTCTGCATGTGTGTGTGTGTACTGTAATCGAAGCTCTAATTCTATTTGTGATTTTAAGTATAAATAGGATAAATTTAGCTACCGGTTTTTTGCGGATTGCACCGGTAAATGAAATGTAATTTATTGTCATTTCGTGTGATGTTGATTTTATAGATTTTTTGCTATTCATGCAAACGGCAAATCAATGTAATGATTTAAAACACATTTAACGAAGCTCAATTTTCACACATATCTAAACACATACATATTCATGTGAGGTATGTAAGCGTGTGGGTTGCTTACAGGTGTTATGAGATAAGATTATCAGTTCTTTTGAGTTTGTGTTAAATGGCTTAGAAACGATTAAAACCTTTACAGCAAACACAAACAATGCAAAAAATAAATAAATAAAGAAAAGCAAAATGTAAATCTTTAACATCAGTTGAGTTAACACATGTGTTTTGTTGCTAATGAAATGCTGTCGTCTTGTGATTAATCTTAGAATGTCGTTTACTTAACTCTTAGTTAATGTCAGCTGGTCGTGTATGTTATGCATGCATTGTTTATGCCTAATGTAATCCATGCATAGAACATTAAATGCATTTATTGAGCCGTTCACAATCAATGCGACGAGAGAGGCAGAGAGAGAGAGAGAGAGCGAGAGTGGGAGAGCGGAACAGAAGCTTTGTTTTGTAAGCTGCGTTTGCGCAAATATATTTGTTTGTTTTCGTTTTGTTGCTGTTTATTTTGTGCTATAAGCGACGAGCCGAGCTTCGGGTTCAGGTTCGCTTTGCGCTTTGTGCTTCAGCTTTCAGTTTGTTTTGACCGCGCGACGCGCAATGATGTTGGCCTAAAGCGACACGTTCAAATACTCAGCACACAGTAAACTGAATATAATGGTTTGATAGGCGCGACAATCAGTAAAATCTGAAACACAAATTGGAAATTAAATACAAATAGTTAAAAAGAACTAATCAATAATCTAAGGCGAATTTCAGACAGGTTTTTTGTGTTGAACGTTTAAGTTTGTCTGCTTGGGGCATTTGTATTCGTGGATTGTGCAACCTTTTGCTGCTTATGTGCAACATAAATAAATTGTTAATTTCGTTGGCCCTTTCAATTTGCAGTTAACATTATTAAAACAAAATGTTCATGGATCAGACCAATAACAATTAGTGTGAATAATTTGAGTCATTAGCAAGTTCATTTATATTGGAGCTCTTCCAAATTTCACACAAAGTATTCATAAAACATAATTACAAACCAGTTTCGATAGACAGGAAAAAACGTAAAATTATTTATGTTTCTTTTATTATTTTTGTTATGTTTTATAAACTCTTCGCGCCATCAGTTCAGATAGCCGAAAATAAAACACACCTGGCCCGAAGTACCAGAAATAGATATAAAAAAATAATAATTTCAATTTGTAGCCGACGGCTATACGATGGCGAAACGCTTAAAATGCAAATTACTCATGAAATAGTAGTAGGTGAAAGGTAATCCCGCCATTGGCCTTTAAATAGGTGCGGTCGCCAGATGAGCATCTTGAACGGCTTACCGACTTGTGGGTCAGATAGAAAGGTGCCGTCTTCAAGGGCTGACCTGTGTGGCTTTGACCCGTAAATTAATTACGGATCAAAATACACAAAACGGATGCTGTCCTAAAGTTCCTACAGGAAAATCCTGTTTTCGTGGACTTTAAGAGCGCTAAAACGGCAATATGAACGGGTTTAAAGCTGAGCATTTAATATGAATTTATAATAAGCGTAAACGTCATTGACTGCGAATGCTGTCAGTTATAAAAAGACAAGTTCAACAAACACATTTTATTGTACTCGTTAAGTTTCTTAATAATTGTCAATAACTGTTCTTAATTCGATAATTGATACACTTATTGATGAACGCATCAAAACAATCAGAAACCACAGAAATGGTAAAAAGAAATTAACAATTAACAATTTGCACATATTAACACGTAACAACAATTCGTGTCGAAGAATACGATGTTCCCAGGCGCATAATAAACACTCGATTATAATGGAAAAGAATATTTATATTCTTATCTATGTCATAGAAAGCAATGAAGAATGAATAAAGCAGCAATGACACAGCCTTTTGAATATTTGAGTAATTAATGAGTCAAGTTCATTGTCGCGTTGTGTAGGAGACAATTATTTTTGATTTCGAACTTGATGTAAAAAAGTCGTTAAGGTTTTCAATTGCGATTAATAAGAATAACGCAATTAGCTATGCAAAAACCCTGAGAAAATATAATCAGCAGCTGTAAAGAACAGTGCTTGTGCAAATAATAAAAAGAGAAAAAAATTGAAAAAACAAAAACAAAGAAACCAAAACTAATCATGTTTAATGGCAGAATAGACGCAACAGCTGAAAAGAATCGGTAAAAACAAATATAAAAAACAGCATTAAAAACCTCATAAATTTATAAATTGACTTTAAAAAGTGACAAGTGAAAAATGAAAAAACTGGTTTTTTATTTGATTCGTTTCATTATTAGCTCGCTGAACGATCGTCCTTTATTCATGCAAAATGGCAGCAACAACAATCGACGCATTTCCGGCCTGAATGATGTGGAAGTAAGCAACTTTCGACGGGCCCTGCCACAGTTTCTAGCTGTTAGTATTAAGAACATATTGCTATTCGGTAAATAACTATTGTAATACTCGGAATTTAATCTACCTCTGCATATATTAAATGCAAAGCTTAATAAGCGGGAAATGAAGCTATCGAACAATGAACAATGGACAATTTCATAGAATGAAATTCATTTCAATTTGCATACGTTTTTTTAATATCGTAGTTGGAAAAGGGATCCGAAATACGTTTTCATTTTGCGAAAATGTATTAGATACTTTTTGTATACTTATTAAACATACAGCTTTCATTCCCTGACTTAAGCAAATGAAATTAAGTCCAATTTTGGATTAATGTCTACCAGTTAAATTTCTTAAATAAAATGTTAAAATCCTTGTGCAGGATATGGCATGACTCTGGGCTTTCCCACAATCGTAATACCAGCGATACAGGGCGGCGATGGACGCAGAGGGGGGCAGAGTGGCGATATAGTACTTAACAAAGATGAAATATCGTGGTTCAGTAAGTTATAACACAAAGCGCAGATTGCCACACACAAATGCACTTAATTATTCCTTTTAGGTTCCATAAATTTAATTTGTGTGCCGCTGGGTTGCCTCTTCTCGGGTCTACTAACTCAGCCGCTGGGCAAGCGAAGAGCAATGCAGGTGCGTATCTGCAGCGATATATATATATATATATATATAAGTGTCAATAAAATAACAGATTTTTATCTAGCAACATGGCATTGAAAACATTGACACACTGAACTTTAAAGTGATGCTATTGTTTAATTATGCTGATGCTGGCAACTTGGCATTTGTATCTGTATCTGTATCTGTGTCTGGTTTCGGTTTCAGTTTGTCAACCTGCCCATACTGGCTGCCTGGCTTTTGTTTCACTTTGCCACGAGCACGGATCATCTGTATGCGGCTTTATGCTTGGCTGGTCTCGGCGGCGGTCTCATGGAAGCACCCGTAAGTAAAGACCCACTAACCAACTAACTAACTAATTGCACTAATCGCTGGCCAGCTATGTTGTGTTGCCATTTCTCTATTTTGACCTTGTCTAAGCCGATAATAATATGCACCTATTATGTTAACACAATCGAAATTAATATCTTGTGCTGCGAGTATTTACAGAAATGAGCTTTAAGAGTTAGGTGCATTTGATATGAACTTGTCTCTAGTTTCCTAAAGATTATAGAAATACAATATCGAGTTAGCATTGTTGAAATTCTTATGCAAATTACGAAAGATCTGAACTTGCCTCCAGTTTCTTAAAGATTGTAGAAATATGATAATAGAATTACCGGTATTTAAATTCATATGCAAATTAGGAAAGATAATTTTAACGAAGTAAAGTAAATTATTTAATAAATATAAAACTTTTTTCATCTATTTTTTTTTTTTTATTATAGTATGTATGTATTATAGTAAACAATAACAATTTGCAATTGTTGAAAAATATTGGTTTCATTCAAATATTTGTTTAAAAACCACTCTTAGCAAGTCTAGAAAAAGTTACAACTAAAAAGCTAGATAGTATAGAAATCTTGATACTTATAAAGGACCATGTCTACACCTAGGTTATATGAATTCTATAGAGTCGATAATATATATTTCTTAGTTAATTATTAATTATTTAATGTGGCATGACTGATTGCTGACAGATTTCTTGCATGTATTGATTATTATTAACAAATTTGTAAATTGCAAATATTTGATGTCATTGTCAGTGGTTTGCAACCAATGAGGTTTATAATTATAATTGATAATGGAGTAAAAAATGTCAATCAACTCTTGATAATCGGCGTTTTTTGACATGCAGGTGCTGACCTATGTGGCCGAGATTACGGAGCCCAAGTACCGTGGTATTCTATCAGCGCTTGGCACCACCTGCGTCATCACTGGCGTCTTCGTGCAGTTCATCTTGGGCTCCCTGATGGACTGGCGCAGTGTGGCAGCTGTAAGCGCCGCTTTTCCCGTAATAACAATTGTAATGCTGTGCTTTGTGCCCGAGAGTCCCATCTGGCTGATACGGGAGCAACGATTCTTGGAAGCGGTCAAATCACTGCAATGGTTACGCGGTTGGGTGCCGGAGCACATGATCGAGGAGGAATTCAATAAGCTCTACGACGAGCTAATCACCCAGAAGGCCATCGAGGAAGCGGCCGAGGATGTTGGAATCGATGCTGCTGCGGCGACTGGACTACGATACAAACTGAGCAAACGTTTCCGAATGTGGCGCAAGCGAACCTTTCTCGCACCCTTTCTACTTGTCTCGTTCACGTTCTTTACGGGCCACTTTTCGGGCAAGACACCGCTGCAGACGTATGCCGTGCAAATCTTTCATACTTTGAAAGCGCCAATGAATAAATATCATGCAACCATATTGCTGGGCGTTGCCGAGATGCTGTCAACCATATTGGGTGTGACACTGATACATTTTACGGGCAAACGACCACTGGTGCTCGTCTCGACGGTGGGCACCGGTCTCTGCTTCCTTGGCACGGCGACCTATGCGCATTTCCTCAACGATGTGCCCGGCTTTGCGGTCAACAATGTGGTGGTCAATGCATCGGAGCTTGTGCCCAAGGAGAGCATCATATCGCAGGCGAACATATCAAAAATATTTGAAGATGAGCAACAGCAGCAGGAACTAATGATGCTGACAACCATGTTGCCCGAACTGGAGTTGGAAACGACGACAATGGCAATATTTGATACCACAATGGAGGCAATGGAGTTATTCACTAATCGCAGCAGACGGGGGCTGGAAACCACAATGGAACCAGAATTTGAGGCAACAACGATGCCGCCCGAAGTTGCCGTTGCAGTCAGTGATATTCCGACGCCGTCGAAGCCACCCATTGCAGAGGATCTGCTGTTGACTGTGCCAAAGCAGGAGCGCAATTATTTGGTGTGGGTGCCGTTGATTCTGTTGCTGCTGTCCGCCTTCTTCTCGCATCTGGGCATACGCATGATACCCTGGGTGCTCATCGGTGAGGTCTTTCCCGCCGATATACGCAACAGTGCGTCAGGATTTGCCGGCGGTGTTGGCTACGTATTTGGTTTTCTGGCCAATAAGCTGTTTCTGGTGATGATCAGTACATTGACGTTGCCGGGCACATTTGCGTTCTATGCCATGGTTGCCTTCATTGGCTTCGCTGTGCTCTACTTTACGCTGCCTGAGACCGAAGGTCGCACCCTGGGCGTAAGTTAATCTCGTCACTCAACACAAATTGAACAATTTTCAACATTTTTGCGTATTTCGTTTTGCAGGAAATCGAGGCACACTTCTCCAATAAGTCGGATATGAATCTGTTGCGCAAGCAGCCAAAGCAGAAAGATAGTGAAAAGCAGCCAAATCTGAATCTGAATACAACAAATAATGCTGTCATGCAATTGGACAATCTGCAGAATCTGCATATACCAATTAGTTCGCAGCAGCAGGCAAAGATAATTCATTTGCAACAGAGCGATTTTGCGCCACAGACGGGCGGTGGTGCGACCAACCTCGCCTTTGACGGCAACACCAATACCACACACCTCTAAGATCTAATAGATATACATACCGTTGTAGTAATTTTGATGACATTTTGACAATCCAGCGATATTTTTAAGCAATAAAGTAATACTTTACTTAGTTATAATAAAAATTCTTCTTTCATTTTCTTCAGTTTCCTTTCAAACTACAGTCTTTTATCCAAAAAATTGCCTACTTCGTGATAAATCTAGTTTTTTGAACGCTTCAAAACGATTCAATTAAAGACTTTACTTTTAGATGAAAAATAAAATAAGAGTTTAAATTATGAAGCATACTTTTAGGAATAGTAAAAAGTCTTTTAGATTGGCTTTTGCGGCAAATAAATCACAGCCGAATTCTTACAGATTTCTAAAGATTACAATTACCAACTATATGGATTTATACGGATTTTTAAGATACGGAAATAGTTAATACCTGCCGATCGTAAATATTATAATATTGATTCGAACAACTCGTACTTTATTAATTGAGGGGTTTTTGTATTTTAATTTGAAAGCAACTTCAACATCGTGATTACTGATTATATTATTTACATTTTTCGGTCAATTTTTAATATCATACAATCTTTCGCCAGGCTGCATTTTATGGTTATACAAGCAGGTGAAATACACCATGTGTATTTTTCCACGTACTAACATGCCGCAACCCAACACATCGTTCTTCTGATAGATCATATTCGCAAATTTATAATCTGCTGGTGTAGCGTTTTTTGGAAACTTTTCCACACTTTCCTTTTTAAATGTTGAAAACTGCCCCCAATTCCGTTGTATCACGTGCTTGAGTACTTCAGGTACATCGAGTGGATCCTTATAATGAAGGACTTCCGAACTTTTAGCCACATTTAGATAGCGGGCCGTATTCACGCATGCACTGTATTCTTCATCATTGCAAAAATTGGTTACACGCATTGCGATCACGGCGAGCTCCTCATCCCATCGCAGTGGGAGTAGTCGCTTGGCCGGTGGCAAATGTCCCAATGCCCTATGCATTCGCATCCGGAGATTATTGTGATGCGTAATTATTATATTTTTATTTCTCTCCATGTTGACACCATCGCGCGGCTTCGGGCAGTTGTCGCCCCACTTCCATCACATAATTGCAATTCGAATACACAATTACGCTAATAGGGTTCAATGGCAGGCTGTGGAATACTTACAAACTGGTGGCCACATGCAACATGAGTTATACCCAGCGGGCAAAGTTCCTTACGACAGTAGTTTTCCGGTTGTTTGGGTATATGCAGGTGTCCGCGCATCACGTATTTTGGTATTTTGGTACCGTATTGGGGCAATTTCAGGAAGGGTTCGCCAAATGTGACTATTATATTAAGCTGAACAAATGAAAGTGCGACAGCTAAATGAGTGTCCATCTTTGAGTCACATAATCTACTTACTGTTGCAAGAAATACAGCGTCTCCAGCCAGTAGGATTGAATTCCATGCGATTCGATTCGCGTTCCGCTATTTAAGAGTGAGAGCAGCACGATTTATAGTTGAACTATTTGATATTTACATTGTTAACTACCGTTTAATGTGAACTTCGACTTGTAAAGTAAGTTTAAAGCATGCTTAAATATAATATTGTATAACACATTTTTCATATATATATATATATTTTGTATATTATATGTAGATATCGTTAATATGTAAGCTTATATGGGGGCGCCACACAATAATTGTTCAACTTTAAGTTTCGTCATCCTGCAGTTCCAGGAACTGCGTGCAAACATCACGACTACATTCACCCTTGGTATTGAATAGGAATTTATAATAGTGACCATCCGCGCAAATGGCTAAAATTAGCAAAAGGTTAGATTATTATTATTTAAATCACCTATGTGTGTTAGAACTTACCCACAACCGAATTTGAATCGGCGCCAAAGGCACAAATACAGCGAGGTCCCTGCGGTATGGAGAATTTAACGAAGCTCCATTGACTTGAGAAATACTTGGGTATTATCGGTAGCGATGATTCGCGCTGCTTGTTGTCCTCCAAATTGAAGACATGTATGGTTCCATGATCTGAGGCAACAACAATCATGGTCGATTGATGATTGAAATTGATACAGAATATGTTTGCATGATTGCTGCCGCGTCGCAATTCGGACACCTTTTTGCCGTTCTCCGTATCGAAAATGCGTATAAGTGTGCCCTTCTCGCCGGCTGTGGCCAGGCGAGTGCCTTGCAAATTCAATGCAATGCAACTGATGGCTGCCTCATGCGCAATTACCTCCAAGGGGGCACGCTCCGTGTTGGCAAGATCGACGATTTGTACGTGACCGGTACGCCGACCCGGGAATGCGAGCAGACTCTTATTGCTGTGCGGACAGAGGACGCACAGGCCATTCGGATTGGCGCTTGTCTCGAACACATGCAACTGCTGTGGCTGCTGTGTGAATGTATACACCTTGATCACTCCCTCTAGCACGACGACAATCCGGTCGCGTCTCAGACGAACGGCGCGCACTGGCTGATTGAATTCCAACGAGATGGCCGGCGATTTACGTAGATCATCCCAAACAATCACTTTATTGGGCGGATACAATGGACGAATGCCGCCGCCAACAAGCGCCAAATAATTGCATCGGAACAGCATTTCTACATGGCTGAGACCACCTGCAAATCGCAGAAACACACAATACAAAGTGCGAAACATTGTTAATCGAGCATGGGAAAAGTCACACACTACAGTAAAGCTACAATTACACAAAAGCCAAGAGAAAATTATATGATTATAGTATGTCTGATTTTAATGAATTTCATAGATCACTTTCGTAAAGATTTCGAAAATTCTTTGCTAATATCAATAAAACCGGCAACAAAAAAAACAAAAAAGTCAGTTAATAACCATTTAAATGTTTCATTTTCGATAACATATTAATCGAATTCGCCGATCCTGTTATCGACAAACATATGCATATATAATAAATCCTTGTGTTGTTTAAAAAAACTACCAAACGTTTGTCAGACAAAACTCTACTGCGAATGACATGAATTAATCAAAGCATACAAACATATGACCTACTAGATGAATTATCAAATATTATTATCTGATGTGAATTTACGCAAGTAATTTGGCCTGCACACACACGCACGTACATACACAGACACACACACACACACACTTACCTTCGGGAAAGTATTGACGTTCCTTTTCCTTTAGTGGGTCACAATTGTACACCCGAAATCCGGTGTCTGTGGCACAAGCAAAACATCCTGCGTCGCAATTTTATTATTAATCATTATGCGTATATATACAAATGTTTTATGTATATTATATATAGTATGTTTATTGCACGTTGAAGCTTCGTGTGCATGAATATGTAAACAACATACAAAGTACACTTATTTACCTTGATCCTGGTTGAAGCCAGCATAGAGCAGCCCATTGCCATACGGATTCTGCTCCGTCAAATTCATAATAATGTGGCTGCACTCTCAATGCTTAATGCTTTTTATAAATTATTAGCACTACAAATGATGCGTGATGATTCCCTATTTATTTTTTTTAATGCATTTGCACCAGGGCTGGCGAGACGCATTTAACAGGGCGCAGCCAACTTCATGCAGCGCAAATTTGAAAAAGCGAACTTCTTTCGCGATTTTCGTGGTATTTTAATACAAATAAGAATATAACTTTTTTTTTGCTGTATTTAACTAACAAATATATCAGAAAACTATGCTGATCTATGATATTTCTCACAATATTGTTAACAGTGACATTTACACAGAGTTGGTATTATTTGTCTACTGACATTTTTACTGATTTTTTAGCACACAACCGGCTGTCATACTAAATACAATAGACGAAGCGCTGTTCATTTAGTTTTGTGAATTTACTTATGTTGCACAAATACATGAATTAGTTGGAAAGATTGAAAGACGATAACTGCCCAGCTGCCAAATCAATGGAAAATACATTCGACGATGAGGATCGAATTGAGCCGTGCCGCACATGCGGCATCTATTTCATATTCAGCCAATCCATAATTAGGCCAATATTTACAAAATGCGAAACCGGCGACATGCCGGAAATCGTGCAACAAATGCACGCCTGGAATCTAGAGGTAGGTGCGAATTTGGTCCTGTTTCAGACAGCAATACTATGTTAATGTTATCTTTCGAAAGCTCAAGGAAGACGATGGGCGGCCGCAGTACATGTGCATAGCCTGCATCGCTGAGTTCCAGAAATTGCTGAAATTCAAACGCAACTGCCTGGAGACACAGGAGCAATTCGAGAAACTGGACATCAGGCGTGACCAGAATGGAGTGGTCATTAAGCAGGAAATTGCAGAGGCAAACGAGCAGACATTTTGCGGCTTCATTTATCTCGATACGGACGACGAAGAGGAGGAGGACGAGGAGGCGGGCATCGCCGAGGATGGCAGCAGACGTGTCTGGGCTCCACTTGATATACCGCATATGCCCATCAAGGAGGAGCACACGGCACGTGTGCCGCACGAGACACAATATCATCAGCAGCCGATCGTTGGTAATCTGTCCGAGGAGGCAATCTTCGCCCAAGTCAAGCCCGAGGAGCTAGCGTATGACGAAGCAGTGATCACGCTGCCAACAACAATGCAGGAGCCGGGCGTCTTCTGCAAAATGTGCGGACATGCTTCGGCCACGCAGGCCAAGCATACCGAGCACATGAACCGGATACACATGCTCAAGAACACCGCGTGCCATATATGCGGCAAGAAGTTCACCAACGCGCTCGAATCGCGTGTCCGGTTTCACATGAAATGGCATAAGCTGCAAAAGCACGTGAAATGTCCCATGTGCGGCTTCTTCTGCAGCTCCAAAGACACGCTGAAGGAGCACAAAATTGCGGAGCATACGCGCTGCAAATGTGAATTCTGCGGCAAGAGTAAGTAGGCCGCAATTGAGGAAGAAATTTATGTTTGATTCCTAATTTGATTCTTCCACCTGCAGTACTGAAGCACAAAAACCAACTGGGACATCTAAATCGTCATCTTCAAGGTAAATGCTGGTTATATGATCCGTATCAGAAATCATTATTCAATTGATTTGTTGCAGAATACGAAGAGGAACTGGCGCGCAAGCTGGGATCAATGCAGACGATGGAAACGGCGACAGTCAAAACGCAGCTACGCTTAATAGGTTGCGCCTTCTGCGATGAGACCTTCGAGGATGCCGAGCAGCTGCAGACGCATGTGCAACACAAGCATCGCACCGTGCCACCTGAAGAACGGTACACAACGGAGGAAGAATCTCTGACGGTAACCACAACTGGACAATTGCCAGCAAGCGATACCTGCAAACCAGCCGCCCAGTCAGAGTCATCCCATCCGGAGTCGGATAGAACAAGCACCCAGCGGGGCAATGTGTCCATGTGCGAGTGTAATATATGCGGAAAAACATTCAATCTACAAATCAAACTAAATCGGCATCTTCGGCTGCACAGCAAGTCGCCATTCTGATGGATATGCGATGTCCGTGTAGCCGAAAGAACAGCCCCAAATCGGATAAAACACACACAGAATCCTATGTTCAGACTATCCTAATGGATAAGCACAACAAAAGACACACATCCCAGATCCACACATCCATACTGACTAAGCCATCATCATAATATCATTGTTAATAATAAATTCATCTAGTTAAGGTTTTCATGCAAGTTTTCAAATATTTACAGTCCATAACTAATAACAATAACTATAACGATGAGATAATGTTAGATTCATTGAACATTTATTTTAAGGTATGTCTGTCTGCGTTTTGCGATAGGTCTTATTTAGTTCTAAATACAATATTAACAGATTTAATCAAGCTGCGCCGCGCATTGCAAAATTGCACAGCTTTTATATTACAAATTGGAAAGCAAATTGATTGTTTGCTTGAAAATTCTAAATTCCATATGTAAACTATTATATATTTAGGTATATGTATCAAATCAAAGAACGTAGTTAACAAGCCTCTGTCTATTACTACTCCATACTTAATTGGGCGCCGTCTTTAATACAGCTGTGGGCAGCATTTTGGTGCTTATTGTTTTGCCAGCAATCGCATCAACAGTTGCCGTCGTCACACTGCTCAATTTAACGCCGGCAACAGTTGTCGCCGTCGACATGGGTATTACTTTCATGTTGGACAACGGCTTCAGGTTGACACCCTGTAGATTAGGCGTAAAGAACAATTGGCCGCCATTATTTTGTACGGCAAATACAAGATTATTGCCAGATGTTGCATTGTTGCTTGAGGCGGATGTTGTTATCGTGTTGCTGCCACTGCTACTGCTGCTGTTGCTGCTTGTGGCGAGCAGCACGTTCTTGCCCAGACGCAACGTTTGTCCGGCACCAGCGCCAATGAGAAGCGTTTTTGGCGCACTTGCAATCCCACTGGATGTGCTGGGCAGGCTGTTGCTGGTCGTGGTGATGCTGCTGCTGCTGGTGGCAAGACGCAGCAGCTGATTGCCCATAATGACTGTCTGCATGGGCGTTGCATTGCGCGCTGGAATGGTCTGTAAGTGGAATTAAAATTAATACAGGTTCTTTAACAGATATTTTCTGGACATGCTTACCGCTCCTTGTAGCTTTACTGTCTGGCCACCAATGACAATATTCTGTGCCGTCTTCATTGCACCCGTTGTCAGTGTGGTTGTTGCCGTTGGGCTGTGTGTGCTGCTAACAACCGCATTAGTGCCCAGCTTTAGCGTCTTGGCGTGCAGCAACACCGGCTTGCCGGGCACAACCGTTGTCTTGCCAATGATCTTGGGCACCATTGTTCCATGATGACCGGCGCTCACAATGCGCGCTGTTGTCGGCAGCTGTTTGACGCCCGACTGCTGCTGCGTCTGTTGCTGCTGCTGTTGAATTTGAGCACCGGGCGAGAGTGTGATCACATTGCCTCCGGCTGTGGATGTGGCCAGCTGTATGATGTTGTTACCCGTCGTTATCAGCTTGCCGCCATTCGATTTCTGCAACAGACCCTCCAGCGTTAGGATCTGACCACCAGTGCCCTGCTGCTGTGTGGATGTTGGTTGCGTGCCACTCGAACCAGCTGACGTCACCACTGGCGTGGTTCGTATGATGCGCGTTGTGGTTGTTGTCTGTGCGGCATTTGCATTCGCTGCTGTCGACGTCACCGGCTGCCTAAAGCTCTGCAACACAATCCGCTGCTGCTGTGGCGAGAGATTCGCGGTGGCCAGCGTCTTCGCCTGTCCACCCATAGTGCTGAGTATTTTTGGCGACGCTTTTGGCAGCGCCTGGAAAACGATATTTTTGTTCGACGAAATGGCCGTGTTGCCTGCACAAACCAAAAAAAACGGTAATGAAATTATGATATGGCAACTGCTCTTAAAACTGATCAAGTACATATATATAGATATAGTTGCGTAAAATAATAATAGCACCTCTCGCACAAGAAATGTTTTTATCTAAGTTTAAGGAACTTGTAGATACGTTTTTAGGTGTGGATGAAATAAAAGTTATAATGAAAAAAACTATCATTTTATTCACAATTTTTTAAATGTAGTAATATTTTATGATAACCATTTTTGAAATGTGAAAGTTAGAAATAAATAAACGAATTCTACAAAACACGTAAATGCTAATTTTTTATTTCTTCGCTACATTCTGGCACTTTTCACTTTAAATGAAAAAAAAAAAACAAACAAGAAATATAAAAATAATAACTTCAATTTATCGAGTGAATACTAAACCATATGTTAAAAACCAACTTTTGAAAATATTGCAAAACTAAGGGTTTTTATCATCCGGAATAAAAAAATACAAAGTGGTCATATTGTTGTTGTATTAACTTTATGGAGTCAAGTTTGAACTGCAACTTACCCACAAGAATTCGTTGCTGCTGCGGCTGTTGTTGCTGCTGGGCTTGGGCCTTTTGCTTGAGCTGCTGCTGCTGCAGTGTGGCAAATGCCTGGGGCGACATCTTGACAATGGTGCCACCCGTGGGTGCGCTGGCATTGGTTAATGGGCTGCCGCTGATCGTTGTTGCCGCTGCTGGCTTGTGGCTGATAATGGAAACGGCGCCAATTTTCTGCTGCTGCTGCAACGGACGCACTGTGGTCTGGGCGAGCATGCGTGGTCCAAGGATTTGCACTGTTGCAGCAGTGGGCTTGGCAGCTGCAGCAGCAATCGGATTGGGCAGCTGGACAACGGCAGGTTTGGTGGCCACTGCAGTGCCAATTGCTGCACTTGCTCCAGCTGCGGGCAGCAGGCGTATTATATTCTTGGGCATTGGCTGGCGGGCTGGAGATGATTTGCTCGCGTGCTGCTGCTGCTGCTGATCCAGTGGCATAATGAAGCTGGCCGCTGTTGCTGTTGCTCCGACCGTCGGCGTCTGTGCATTGGGCGCATTGATAACAATGGGCTTCTTGATTGCCAACTTTTTGGTGGACGTGGCAGGCACATGCACCGTCTGCAATCCGCTGGGCGTCGACACCAATATGGGCGTGGTATTGCGTGCGGGACTGCAGCTGAGAGGCGACTGCTGCTGCACTTGTGGCACCTGCTGCTGTATTTTGGGCGAGGTTTTCAGCAGCTGAACGGGCGCTGTGGGCGATCTGTCCAGAATGGTGACAACGCCGCTGCGTTGTGTGGGCTTCAGCAGCGATTTCTGTGCCGTCATCAGCTGCGTGGGCGCAACAGTGGGCGGCACATGATATTTGAGCGGCGGCACTGGCGGACACTTAACCTGCAGGGGAAGAGGAGGTTGTGCTAGCAACTGCTTCTTTATCAACACAGCAGCAGTCGCAGGAGAAGAAGCAGCTGCAGTTGCTGCTGCTGCTGGTAGTTGGGCTTGTTGTTGTTGTGGTGCAGCTGCTGTGGCCGCCACTAAAGCGGGCAGCTCTGGTGTCGCCTCCAAGGTCTCATCCTTCTTTGGCTTTTGCTTGCGCTGCTGCTGCTTCTGTTTGACCATTGTCTGATTCTGGCGATGCATTAGCTCAAAGTCCGCCTCGCTGCGATTGCGATGCAAATAGATCCAGATCTTGCGGCGTGCATCGTAACGCACACACGGATCGAGGCCGCCATGCATTCGATCCAGTGCACCGCTGACAATCGTCTGCAACACATTCTCCGCCGCCTGCCGGTTGACGAACTGCGAGCATTTCAACAGCTCCGAGATTTCGGAGCGTGTACCCTCGCCATTGGGCAGCCGTGCGGTCGCATCGCGCACCAGCGTCAATATGGTCACATACGGCGGTCGATCATCCACCATGATCGCATGACCCCGGGCCTTGTTCAGCGCCAAACTCTGCGTGTAGATGCCCTTGACGGGACCGACAACACTCTCGTAGCCATGCAGGCGATACGTGAACGGACGATGCGGCTGATCGAAACGCAAACGCTCCTGTCGCTGAAACTCCAGCATCTCTGCCTGGGTGGCCACTCGCACCGCCCAGCTGGTGGGGCAGCGTGGTGGCGGCGTTGGCGCCACATCCACAACGGGACTCAACAGCTGCTGTTGTTGCTGCTGCTGCTGCTGTGGAGTCGTCAGCGCTTGTTGCACAATCGTTGTGTCCTCCTTGCGTCGTTGCAACCAGTGCTGGCAGAGCGTTTGCAGACGCGCATCCGAATCGCGTCCAGCGCCAATCCACTGATAGATATTCAATTGCGTCTTATGCTCAATATACGGCACATATTCGGCTGGCAGCGTTGGAAAGTCACCCGACAAAAAATTAACAGCCGATTGCAGTAGATGCGTCCAATCCACCGGCAGCTGACGCAGCCAATCCGGCACACCGCCGCTGCAGCTCTCCGTGCGCCACTTGAGCAGCAGAGCGTGCAATTCGGCATAGTTCAAGCGATGCTGCGGCGTCGAAACGAATAGATCCCGGAGCAGCGAGAAGTAGCTGCCATGTGCATGACGCGGCATCGTCGTCGTTGTTGCCGTCGTCGTCGTCGCCGTTGTTAATATTTCTCGGGTGGGACTGCCCGTGATGTGAGCACCAGCCTTAACCAATGCCCGGGGCGAGGCGTTGATGATGGAGCGTACCGTAATCGGCTCCAGTTTGGGCAGCGGGTGAGCGGGTGACAGTGTCTTGGACATCCCCTGCTCAGCCTGCTCCTGCAATTCCGGCTCCAGCTCCTCCTCGTCGGGTTCCAAGGCGGCACGTCCATACAGCTGCTGCGGTTCATCCGTCAGCAGTTCGGCCACAGGTTCCATCGACTTTGTCTTGTTGTTGCTGTTGTTGTTGCCACCAATAGGCACCAGCGCCGGAGGCTCACTTACATTGTGGTTGAGACGCGCTGTCAGCGCTTTTGGCTTGCGTCCCGGCTTGAAGTTGCCCACGAACTGGGCACGTGTGCAGATATCCCGCAATCTTATGTCAGCAGTGTCAAAGTCCGGCAATTGCTAAGCAAACAGAATAAAGAATTTAATTTTAAGTATAGCTATACTTTTAATAATAACTATGAGTTAGCTCGTTACATATTTCTTATAAGAATATGTTTAAGCTTGGGTTGCCACTGGCAAAGAGAGGCAGGTCTTTAAGGCCTTCTCAGCTGATAAGCCAAGACTCTAAGATGTGCCATCGACATACCAAAATTAAAAAGAAAACTTCCATAATCTAATCAATACAAGTCCATTTTAAGGCTCAAATTGGCAACCATGTTCTTGTCGTTTGTTTTTAAAGGAAAACTTTCCAAATTGGGTATTGATTTGTATCCAAATAAAATACAATTTTGAAATTGGGAGTTGATTTCTGATTGACTTAAATACAATATTTGCAGCACAAAAAATATTTTAATTCCATTTTCGGTATATTCAAATAAATTGGCAAAACAAAAATTAAAAAAATCGGAGCATTTTTTCTTACCGGCTGCTGTAGTTTTCGTCGCTTGTAGTCACGTAAATATTTTTTGAGGTTTCTCTCGTTGAGCGGCTGCATCTTATCGGACTGCATGCCACGCAGGACTTGCTCATCTTCCAAGCCGGCTCGTCGCTTGAAGAAGGTACTGTAAATGCATTTCTTGTCCGCCGCATTCGATGGCCTCGATGTGCTCGTCGTCTCCGTTGACGTCTTCTGCAGCTGTCGCTGCTCGGCAATTACTGACAGTTGTGCTGCCTTCTCCTCCTCCTCCACCTCCGCGTCCAATTCGTCCGCACTTATGTCACCGGGCTGCAGCTGCAGATCGCGTGCCAGCTGGATGAACTCCTGGCAGTAGCGTTTGCGTGCCCGCTCCAAACAGAACCTGTTATTCTCACGGTAGTGCAGCGTGGGCGTTTTCCGTTTGCGTGGACGGGCTTTGGGCGCCTTGAATGTGTCGCCGCCGGGCGGCGGTGCCATGTTGTAGACCTGCTGCAGGATTTGTTCGCGGGACAGGAACAGCTCCTTGGCCAATCGGCTGAGACGTTCGGCCTCCTGGAAGCGACGCTCTCGTCGCTGCGAACGCTCAATGCTGCGACGTAGCTGGCGGACATCAGGCCGAAGGCTGCCCTCCTCCAGCTGCCGTTGCAGTCGGAGCAGTGGCGATTGGCCAAAATGTTGGAGGCCACCGTTAAAAAGCTGCAGCAGGGTGCGATCCTGTTCCGCGGCCGCCTGTGCTGGCGCCAGCAACGTTGCATAGCTTGGCAGCAGCGCTTGGAGATGCGCCTGCATCGGATTGGGCAGCATTTGCCAGGTTTCCACCGAGAAGAATTCGTGAAAAATGCTGGCGCTCTCGCAGAGACCCCGGGGCAAACGGAAGATGTGCTGGGCACTCAGCTGGGCGAGTTCCATTTGATCGGATTGCGTTGTCGTCGCATCATCAGAATCGGAATTGCTGTGCGTATCCTGATCTGTCGCATCCTCATCCTGATCATCATCGTCGGCGTCATCGTCGCTGGCATTGCTGCTGGAGCTGGTCGCCGTTTTGCCGCTACTGCTGCCAGCGGCGATGACGGCGGGGCTGCTGTTGCTGCTGCTGCTGCAGTCGGCGTTGTCATTGATGTTGTAAGAGCCGCTAAGCTCCTCCTCCTCCTCCTCCGATTCCGGGCATGGCATGCTGTTCATATTATTATTATTATTGCTGTTGTTGTTGCTGCAGTTGTTGTTGCTATTGCTGTTGCTCATTGCTACTTGAGGAATTTTCGTCGTTTTTTATACAATTAATGAATGTAACTTTGATTCTCTTCGCACACTGGGCAAATTTTTTCTCTACACTAATTTATAATTTTTGTCTCTTCCGCTGCCTCGTTATATGAAACATATTTGCTGCTTGTTTTCCTCTTTTTATTGCCTTTGCTTCTTTGGTTAGTAGCATGTTTTCTCTGCGTTTTTTGGTGTTTTTCTTTGCTTCGTATTTTCGGAACGCGTTGGCAGCACGCACCCACTTAAATCGCGGAGTGGCAACTCTACGCGTAAAACAGCTGGCGACATGGCTTCTAGTGCGAATAGTTAAATTAAACAAATACATTGAAATATATTTTCATATATGCATTCGTCTTTGCAATTATATACAATTAAGCTCTTGTTCAATTTTATGTCTGACAGCTTCGGCAAATTGTGAATTGTAATTATTGTGACAAAAGTGACAATGATATTTAACTGTAAATATACACCAACCATATATTTAAATTAAATAATTGCAGACCCATTTAGACAATGCCGCAAAACACCACTTCTGTGAGTACACCACTTCTATGGATATTCAGTCATGCAGTCACGGTTTTAATAAGAATATCAGATAAGCGATGATTGCTCATCTCTAGTGTCGGCGCTAGAGTTGCCTTTGCTATGATCAACATCTGTGTGCTTGTGTGCTGTGTATACTAGCAAATAAAATTTTAAGCGGCGGCGTAGGCAGACTGCTGCTATTGTCTGTATTATTGTTATATATACTTAATTGATTTTAATTCAATTCAAGTGTACACAAATCCTTTGTGAATGTGCACCGAGTGCATTTGCTAAGTGCTGGGCGAAATGAAAACGCAAATGAAAAATCGCAAAAGGTGAGCGCAACGCATTTGTATGTGTGTTTGTAGGTAAGCGTGTGTGTGTGTGTGTGTGTTCGAGTACATGTACATGTATGTGTAGTGTGCAGTTCGCGTCTGTGCCAAAAAGCGCGGCGGTGGAATGTTGAAAAATTAACTAATTTAAAATGTTTGACATGGCCACATTGTCATCTAATGTAACATTAATATTACAGTTTTAAGTTGCCCGTTTTTTGTTTTCAAATGGAAAAAAGAAACTTTAGCTCTTTAAAAAAGAAAAAGAAAGAAAGCAAAGTATTTAGCAGATAAAAAAATAAACGTAGAGAAGAAGAAGCAGAGCGCAACAAAAACGCCGAATGCGGACGCGCGGCGTCGAATGCAAGTGGAAGAGTGCTTGTCGTTTTTTTATTTTTTAAGCTAAAAGTAGTGAAATAGCAACAAAGAAAAAAGATGGGTGTGCTGCAACTTGCATACCCTGCAATCCAGTTAAAATCGTAACAAGCGTGTGATTAAAATATTAACATATTTAGTTATGAGAGGCGATGGAAAGCATTTTCACTTGCACCGGCGGCGTATTTAAACATGCTTTAGATTGTTATTATTATTATTATTAGGGGGAAGCTGCACCGCGACCTATTTGATCTATTGTGCCCCCCTTCTGAGCATATAGCTCTTCCATCTGCCCCAACTCCCTTACGAACGTGAGGATCTTTGTTGGGTTGAGGTCTACTATGTCTGCAATTCAAAACATGTGCCCCTAGGATGCTTCTTCTTCTAATTAAGGCGACACATTCTGCCAGGATGTACATCGAGGATTCCTCCTCTCTTTCACAAAACCTGCAGAGATCGCTACTATATATACCCAATTTTGTCAGGTGACTCCTTAGTCTACAGTGTCCTGTCAATAGACCGGTAAGTATCCTAAGGCTGTTCTTTCCCATGGTTATAATTTGTTTAAAACGTACAAGATTATAACGACCAAGGAGACATCTGGCTTGTCGGAGTCCTATTGCCTCTGACCAGCTCTGATGCCATCTCTGTCTCTCCTCGTTTCTAATTTCCAGTCGTATAGTGTGTCTCCCTATGCCACAATACGGTTCTGGTCCTGTTAGGAGCCTTTCTGCCCCCATTCTCGCTTGCTTGTCAACCGCCTCGTTTCCCGCTATGTCCCTGTGACCCGGGACCCATCGTAGGGTGAGCCTGTTGTGAGTCCCGAGCAGGTCTAGCTTTGAACGAACTTCATGGACTACCTTCGATGTTATCTTAGTCCCCATTATAGCTTTCAATGCTGCTTGACTATCGGATAGGATGGATATATCCGTATTCCGATAGTTACGTTCTATGTTGAAGTCCGCACATCTCCCTATCGCACACACCTCAGCCTGAAATATGCTGGTGTGCGTTTCCAGGGATTCATGGTAAAATACCCGAGGACCCACCACTCCAAGACCGGTGCCCTGATTCGTGAGTGATCCATCGGTGTACCATTTTATGGTGTGCGGTTTCATGGGATGGACTTCATCCAGAGTTGTCCATTCCCTTTTACTACTCATACGAACTGTGATTGTTATTAATTGAATAATTTTTTAATAATTTGTGACGTATTTTAGAGTGTGTGTTTGTTTGTGTACATACATGTTATGGATAATTGAGACTATAGGGTATCTCCTAGTTGGTTATCACATGATTTTAAACGAATTTCTTTTCGTTTCTTTCATTTCATATTATTTCTTTTAGCTTTGTTTAAATTTGAGACGCGGCGCAAATAAGCTCGTGGCACACCGTTACCTATGGGAGACGAAAGTTCAGACTCTCGCGAGACATTTGTTGCAACTTTGATCAATCCAGACGCCGATAGCAGCAACACCTCGAAAGAGATCACAACTAAAATAAAGCCCCAGCCAAGCGATCAGATCAGCGATGTCAATGAGAATTCAACAAATAGAGAAGAAACAATAGCAACAACAACAACAACAGCAGCAGCAGCAACAGCAACTATTGAAGCAAACAGTAATGGAACTAACGGAAATGGAACAGTGAAGGCTGCACTCGACGAATTCTCAAACAGCTGCTCGGACGACGATCAAGGCGTTCTGGAGAAGCCAGCATTCAAAATAAGCATTGTTCCATTGGAGAAACTGCTGGCACAGCCAAAAAGCAACGGCAACAGCACCAGAACAACTAGAAACTCCAACAACAACAACACCACTAAACTTAATGAAAGAACAACTAATATAACTAAAAGAACAAATTTGCGATCATCATCGGTTTTGCCGGCGCGTAAAAGTCGCAACAAAATTGTGTCCATTATCGAATTAAGCGACAGCGACCCAGAAACAGACGAAGACGCCATTATTGTGCAGCGTAGAAGTCGGATCAACAGCACATCCACATCAACATCCACATCCAGCACAGCAGTTGGCAAGGAGTCAGCCAAGAAGTTGCCAACCAAACAGAGTTTGCTCTCGAAACTGTTAATCGACAGCGATAGCACAACAGCGAGTGAGGAGACAAACACAATACAACAGTTGCGTCGCTGTGTGGTGCGTGTAAAGCGCATTAAGCTGCCAACAACAGCAGCTAAAGCAACAACAGCAGCTAAAGCAACAACAGCAGCTAAAGCCACAACAGAAGCAGTAGCAACAGAAGCCGCAACAAAAGCATCAAAAACAATTACAGCAGAAACAACTACAACAAAAATAAAAACAGAATCATCAGCAGAAACAACAAGAGCAGAAACAACAACAGCAGAAACAACAACAGCAGAAACAACAACAGCAGAAACAACAGCAGAAACAACAACAGCAGAAACATCAACAGCAGAAACAACAGCAGCAACAACATCAGTAAAAACTACAACAGAAGCAAAAACAAGAGCAGCAGTAGGAACACTGGCAGCAGCAACAACAGAAACAGCAACAACTGAAGAATCAGCAACAGCAGCAACAATAGAAAAAGCGTCAGCTAAAAAACCCGAGCCAAAGCGCAAAATGAGCACAGATTCCGAGGTGGAAGAAGCGAGCACATCGAAGCGCACTCGTCGCGATAAAAGCGCCAGTGCCAGCGATAACGATTCCGATTACAAGGCAGCCGCCGATTCCGATGAGGAGGAACAAGTGGAATCAGAACATGAAAAAGATGTTGAAAAATCGGATGCAGACGCAGACGCTGCTGCTGGCCAAAGCAGCGACAGCGAAGTGATGCCACAACGCAAACGGCGCAATTTTGCAAACAAAAAAGATGCGGGCTCTGCGCAGGACTCATCGGATTTCGAGCCGGAGGACAAGAAGAAGAAGAAGCGACGACGCATCAAGAAGACATCCAGCGGCGACAGTGACGATGGCGACGACGAAAAGAACAAGAACAAGCGTAAACACATACGCAAAATCATCAAGACTAAGGATTTGGATTTGACCACCAAGGAGGCAGCCAAGGAGGAGGACGATCGTCGCAAACGCATCGAGGAGCGTCAAAAGATCTACAATCGCATCTTTGAAAAATCGGAGAACATCGAAATTAGCGAGCTAATATTGGATTTCGATGAGGAGTCAAAAAAGGCACTGCTCCAGGTGGACAAGGGACTGCTAAAGAAGCTAAAGCCCCACCAGGTGGCTGGCGTCAAGTTCATGTGGGACGCGTGCTTCGAGACGCTCAAGGAGAGCGAAAAGAATGCCGGCTCCGGCTGTATATTGGCCCATTGCATGGGCCTGGGCAAAACGCTGCAGGTGGTCACTCTCTCCCACACGCTACTCATCAATTCTAGGCGTACGGGTGTGGAGCGTGTGTTGGTCATCTCGCCGCTGAGCACCGTGAATAATTGGGCACGTGAATTTGTTCATTGGATGGCGTTCGCCCATCGACGCGACATCGAGATCTATGACATTTCACGGTACAAGGACAAGCCGACGCGCATCTTCAAACTGAATGAATGGTATGAGGAGGGCGGCGTCTGCATCCTGGGCTATGACATGTATCGCATTCTCGCCAATGAGAAGGCAAAGGGTCTGCGCAAGAAGCAACGCGAACAGCTCCAGCATGCCCTCGTCGAACCCGGGCCCGATCTCGTCGTCTGCGACGAGGGTCATCTGCTCAAGAACGAGAAGACATCGATTAGCAAGGCGGTCACACGGATGCGCACCAAGCGACGCATCGTACTCACCGGCACGCCTCTACAAAATAATCTCAAAGAATGTAAGCTATGGCACTAAAAGGATGATCCTTACACAAATCGCTAATCGTTATATTTTCCTCTCGCCCTATAGATTATTGCATGATTCAGTTTGTGAAGCCAAGTCTATTGGGCACATATAAGGAGTACATGAATCGCTTTGTCAATCCAATTAGCAATGGCCAGTATACGGATTCCACGGAGCGTGATTTGCGCCTGATGAAGCATCGTTCGCATATACTGCACAAGCTACTCGAGGGTTGCATTCAGCGACGGGATTACTCGGTACTGGCGCCTTATTTGCCGCCCAAGCATGAGTATGTCGTCTATACGACATTGTCGGAGCTGCAGCAGCAGCTGTATGGCTATTATATGACAACGCATCGGGATCAGGGCAGCTCGGATATTTGTGGCAAGGGTGCCCGTCTGTTTCAGGACTTTCAGGACTTGCGACGAATCTGGACACATCCGATGAATCTGCGCGTCAATAGCGACACTGTAATTGCGAAGCGTTTGCTAAGCAACGATGACTCCGAGGAAGAAGGCTTTATTTGTGATGATTCCGAGGAGGAGGAGGTCGTCTCGAATTCATCGGAGAGCATTGATTCGTTCAAGTCGGATGCCAGCTTAACCATGGGCAACACAGATGCCGCTGGCGGCAGCAAAATGAAGTGTCGCAAGACACGCAACGGCGTTCGCGATGGATTGAACGACAGTGATTCGGATGTCGAGTGTATGGGCGGTGGCGTATCTATACAGAAGGATGATCCATCCGAGTGGTGGAAACCGTTCGTCGAGGAGAAGGAGCTGAACAACGTTAATCATTCCCCCAAGCTGCTCATGCTGCTTCGATTGCTGCAACAATGCGAGGCAATCGGTGACAAGCTGCTCGTCTTTTCCCAATCCCTACAATCCCTGGATGTTATCGAACATTTCCTCTCGCTGGTGGATAGCAATAGCAAGGGCTACGAATTTGAGGGTGAGTCATGCTCTTCCGATCGGCTATGCCAGATCTAAGTAGCATCATAATTAAGATGAGGAAAATATTGGATATATTTTCTTCAGTTCTAATCGTTTTCTTCTCAATGCCGTAGGTGATGTGGGTAACTTTAAGGGCTCCTGGATACAGGGCGAAGATTACTTCCGTTTGGATGGCTCGTGCAGCGTGGAGCAGCGTGAGTCGATGTGCAAGCAGTTCAATAATGCCAGCAATGTGCGTGCCCGTCTCTTTCTCATCTCGACCAGAGCTGGTGGATTGGGCATTAATTTGGTGGCAGCCAATCGCGTCGTCATTTTCGATGTCTCGTGGAATCCTTCGCACGACACGCAGAGCATCTTTCGTGTGTATCGCTTCGGGCAAGTGAAGCCGTGCTACATCTATCGTCTCATTGCCATGGGCACCATGGAGCAGAAGGTCTATGAGCGACAGGTGGCCAAACAGGCAACGGCGAAGCGTGTGATCGATGAGCAGCAGATCTCAAGACATTATAACCAAACTGATTTAATGGAGCTTTACACGTATGAGCTGAAGCCGAGCGCTGAGCGCGAGATGCCGCTGTTGCCCAAGGATCGATTGTTTGCCGAGCTGCTGACCGAGCATGAGAAGCTGATATTTAAATATCACGAGCATGACTCGCTGCTTGAGCAGGAGGAGCACGAGAATCTATCCGAGGAAGAGCGCAAATCGGCCTGGGCCGAGTACGAGGCGGAGAAGACGCGCGCCGTCCAAGCTTCGCAGTATATGAGCTATGATCGCAACGCCTTTGGTGCCCAGATGGTTAGCCAGTTTGGCAATGCCTCCGGCAGTGTTACATCCAATAAGATATTTGGATTCCGCTCGGATATTCTGTTGCAGCTGCTTAACATGAAGATATCGAAGGATCATCCGGAGCTAACACAGAATCAGGTCATACAATTAGTGCCCAGCTATCTACAGCAGCTGTACAATGAGATGAACAATGGTGATCCGACCATGTACAAGGATCTGTTGCAGCTGCATACACACATTGTGCATCCCAGCGGCATGTACATGAATCCCTTGCTCTATACCAATCAAAATCCATCGGCGGCGGGCTACAATCAGGGAACTGGACAAACAGTTGGCGCCACTGTTGCACCCACTGCCAGTTCGACCGGCTTTGAGGCGGACAAGGTATACGAGATTGATTAAGTGAAAATTGACATATAGTACATATTATGTTCACGAATCCATCATATTATTGCGCACACAGTGAATCACACGAGGATTGGCTATTGTCCTCATCATCAAAAATAAGATACATATGTGGTTTTTTTTTCGTGTATCAATTTCGATTTAATGTTAGTTAATTTGTCGTCTTATACTAATTTGAAGAACAAAGCGAAAACAGTCTTTGTAATTACAAATTATTCATGAATACATAGCCCAAGCATAAGTTTATATAGTTTTTATGTCTGAATTTAGTTTAAAGCAGTCCTAATACATTTAGAATTATATTAGATACCGATACCAATTTACACAAAAAACACACAAGAAAAAAGAAAACGAAAAAACAAAAACAAAATGCAAACATATAATGAGTTAAATATACATGGATATATTAGCTATTATACGCGATCTTTGCAAAGGTACGCAAAAAAAAAAATTAACTACACACGCAGCAAAAATAACAAACAATAAATGGCACAGAATACGATAAATAATACTATTGGAGTTTTTAATTGTTCCTTGCATGGATAAACTGATCTTGATCTTGACTACAATTAGTTCAAATAAATTGAAATTAAAGTTCTACAACTCTACAATTTAATGATCTCTTAAATATATGCATGTTCCGAATGGGAAAATAAAAAAAATATAAAAAGCTAATTGCCTGGATAAACTGATCTTGATCTTGACGGTAGTTCAAAAAATGATATTTAATAATGCCTTATTAATCCGAACGCGTCCAATGGAAAACAGTTTATAAAAATATATGGCTTATTGTGAAAAGGTTGATTTCAATGGATCGACAATTTTTTATTTGATTTTCATTTAATAGCTATCAACAGATATTAAACATGTTGCTTGGGTCATCGGTCATAGATAAAATAAAAAGTTAGGGCATCTTCCAGCTTGGCTCCACGTAAAAGTTTTCATTTAAGTATAAGTTTTAATGTTTATTAAAAGGTGCATAACTTAGAGATTATATTAGATTCTATGACATCACTTGGGTGGCAGTTTGCCCATCATGCGCAGCTGTTGCACCTGTTGTGCTTGCAGCAAATGCTGTGGTCCTCCAGGCAGTTGTACGCCCGGTGGCATGCCGCTCATTAGGCCGGGACGTGGCCCCGGTCCACCCATTGGCTGCATGCCCGTTGGACACGGGCCGGGCATCATCGGATGCGTGGGGCGATTGTGGACACCTTGTTGGATATCGGACAGACACGCTTTCCACTCTTCCAGGCGGTTGTAGTGCTTTTGCAGCAGCGTCTCTTTGCGTGCTATTTCAATGCTCAGATCTTGATTCTCATCCTTGATGAGCATATGTGGTTTAAGCGTGGAGACGAGAAAGCGTTTCTGTAAAAAGAATGCCTCCATTTGGCGGGCCACATCGATGAAGCGATTCGTTGTCTTTTGCACCTCCAGATCGATTTCCTCCTTGTTGGTGCCGGAGTTGGGCTCCTGTTTGGTTAGCGAGAGCAGACAGGCCTGAAACGCTTCCTCGAATTCATCCATTAAATTGCCTCCACCGGCTTCGTTATTTGGCGTTGACATATTTGTTTTGTTTTTCCTGTTTACAAGTTACAAACTGTAAACAATTCGATGAACTCGCAAAATACGCTTTCCCAGAAAGAAGCACCAAAAAATCCCCAAAAATAAGGCCGACTTTGCGATTAATTGTACAAAATATATCGATACTTTTAGATAATTGCAAACGAAATTAATTCCAGGAATACCATTCACATAATAGTTTGTTAGTTAAATAATTCTAAAATAGGAATATCATTAACATAATTATTTATTGGTTAAGTGTGCTCAAATGGCAGCACATCAGATCATAAGAAGTCTGTACACTGCTCAATGGTGTCTCTTAGCTCGAGTGCCACGACGCGCTAATCCCGGCCTGGGCTATCAACTGCAGCAGCTCCAGCAGCCTAGTGTCGAGGATGCTAGTGAGGATTATGCCGATATGGAGGCGGATTTCATGTCCGCCCATCGCACACATCAGCAGCACGAGGCACAGCAGCAACAGCAACGCGATCGTGTGCGACAATTTATGATCAAGCACAAATACTTTCGCAATGCTAAATTGCCCAATTTGTTGTTGTACGCGGAGAAGGAGCAAATGCGTCTGCTCCACGAACGCGATGCGGATGAATGGAGTGTGGAGCGATTGGCGGAGAGTTTTCCGGCCACAGCGGACATTGTGCAGAAGGTGTTGCGCTCCAGGTGGCGGCCACAAAGTGTGGAACGCATACGCAATCATGATGCCAGCGTTATGAGGAACTGGACACAGTTGCGTGCTGGAAAATGTGCCGATGTGCCGCCCGAGTTGATGCAGCATTTACAGAAATTTGCCCAACGCCAACGAGGAGACTTGCAACAATTAAGGCCAGAGCAGTGGCCGACACGACCAGAACTACCGGTGCCGCAGCGAAATGAATTCCGAGCGTTGCTGGGCAAAGAGGGCAACAAGCAGCTGGAATCGGGCAACTCAACACAGCGATTAACGGCTCGGTTTATGCCGCCTGCGGCGGGCGAGGAAGAAACCTATTTACTGGACAAGGTGGTAGACAAGCGTAAAATGCGCCTGCAGGAGTTAAAGGCATTGCAAGTGTTGCCCAAGCAAAAGGAGCAGCAGCTGGAGCGACCATTGCCCAATCCCAATGGCACTGGTCCACTGCCCAGTTTTGTGGAGAAATTCGAGCGAACTGAAATTGTTGTTAGCGTTGCGGATCAGCGGAAATACGAGATGAGCAAAGTGAAGGATCGTATTGTTATACCACGCAAACTATATCAGCAAGGAGCCACCTATCGCGTGGATGATGCCTACTACGATGACGATGGAGAGCTGCTGTATCGCGTGCCCGGCATGACTGGCGGACAGCGGTTTCACAAAGATTAAGAGGCAATCGAAGCTAGTCTAAATGTTAAAAATAAAAATAAATCTATCTTTACAAATTGAGCAGAATGTATTGAATACCCTGGATTGAATGCTGAGTGTTTTGTGTACCGTTTTAGAAGGCAGTGAATATCCTGCTATGCCAGAATTGCTTCCAGGATTATTCCTAGCTGATCAGTTTTTTTCCATTCAATTTCTGCTCTTTCAGTTTATCGAAAGAAAATGGAACAAATGCGCTTAAAAGTTAATCGAATCTAGTCTAAATGTTCCATATATAAAATATATGGATATTTACGAATTGAATATTTTGAGTTAACCATCAGAAGGTGGTGAAGACCCTGACGATAACAATATATGTATGTATCTATCTACACGAATTGAATGTTTTGTGTCAATAATCAGAAGATTCCCTGAATTCCCTGATTTACTTGGAGCCATTGGATTATTTAGTTTAGTTTAGTTTTTTCCTCGCAATCTTCGCTTTTTAAGTGCATCCTACGAAAATTGAACAAATGTACTAAAATTAAGAGGAACTCGAAGCTAGTGTTAAGTATGACAATAAATCGAAGAATATCTAATCTAATCTCATCAGAAGGTATTGAAGACTCTTCTGTGCCTGGATTGGCCCAGGTTTATTCCAAGTCGATCAGATTTTTGAAGCTGGTATAAATGTTAAATATAGAAAATTAAATATAACAATATTTAATCTAATTATCAGAACGTATTGAATATCCTGCTTTGCCTGAAACCAATGGCTTATTCCAAGTCGATCCGTATGCACTCAATTTCCGCTTTTTTAATTCATCGTACGAATATTGAACAATTGAAGAGGCAATTGAAACTAGTCTAATTGTTAAATATAACAATATATAACGATATCTAATCTAATCTAACCATCAGAAGTTGTTGAATAGCATGCTTTGCCTGAGCTGGCTCTAAGTTTATTCCAAGTCGAACAGTTTTTTCCGCTCAATTTCCGCATTTCAAATTCACCGAACGAAAGTTGAGCAAATGCACTAAGCTCATTGGTAGTCTAATGTTAAATGTAACAATGCATCGAACAATATCTAATCTAAAGACCAGAAGGTTTTGATTACCTTGGTTTGCTTGGATTGGCTTCAGCTTTATTCTGAGTCGATCCGCAATTTCCACTTAATTTCCCGTCGAAAATTGAACAAATGCCGCTTTCAAATTGCAACGTTTTATTACAAAAATATAAACATATAAACTGTCAAATAGTAATAGCACTAGTTATTGAAGGCAGCTGCGATTAGATCACTGCCCGCAAGCAATGCATCCGAGGCAACAGTTATTTGGGTGCCCGTCAGCCTGGCCACAAGATCACAGGCAGCTATTTCCGCATAGTTGGCGCCGCCAACAACAAACACAAACAAGTTGCGCAGACGCAGCGGAAGGATGTCAGGTGTTTTCAGTTGGGTAGCAAAGGATTTGGGCGTGCTCGGTTGTCCGCCTGCCTCGTGCAGCTGCAGTCCATCGATCATGGCCAGCTTGTTGGCCAACTGCTCGGCACTGTTGGCATTGAGGAGTATCGAGCACAGCTGCGCCGCCAGCGGGATGTACGTGCCATTGAACACAAAGCTGGGACACGATTGCTTGGCAGCATGTCCGGTAGCAGCAGCCGCAGCAGCGGATGTGGATGGTGCTGGCTGATCAGCGTCCGCACAAGATGTCAGCAATTTTAGGCGATTGGCGTTGGCCTGAAATTCGGTTTGCTGGAACTTGGGCAGCGGCAGATTGGAGAGGAGTTTGGCGGACGTCTTGCGCTCGGGCAGCAGCACCGGCAACAGGCCCGCCTGTGCCAGCTGCTGAAAGACGCACAGTTCCCGGTGGCCAAACATGTTGCAATAGTTGCGTGCTAAACTCTGCAGCTCCTCGGGTGCAACGCCGGCGCACAGATGCAGCAAGCAGAGCAGACGCAGCGTATTATAACGCTGGCCATCTGTGGTCAGCAGCTCATCGATCTCGGTGAGAAGGCGCTTGCGTGAAACATTGTTGAGGATGTCCTCCTCGAGCGTTTGCAGGCGGCGAAAGTTGCCCAACATTTGGATGACAATCTCGGAGGCATTTATATGTCGCAACACTTTGGCCTTTAGCTCCGTCAACTTGGGCAGCTTGCGTGCGACATAGTCGTGCATCTCCTCCAGTTGCATGTCGTTGAGCTTCTGCAGCTCCAGGCTCAGGGATTTCACCTGCGCACGCACCAAACTGCTTGCCTGGGCGAAGTGCTTGTAACGATTATCACCGTAGATCTCATCACAGGCGGAATTCAGGCGAATGCTGTTCAGCTTGCCAGTGTTTGGCTTCAGATCGCTTTTGCCTTGGAGCAGCTGCAGCTTCTGGCTGCGTATCTTATTGTTGGCATTATCAATCACAATTTCCCCAGCACGCAGCTGGAACACCTCCAGCAGCAGGCCAGCATAAATGGCGGGCGTCAGCAATGACGACGCATAATCCTTGTCCCTGTCAATAATCAGCCAGGCACCAAAGTCAGCCGGATTTGTCGGCTCTGGCACTGTTCCCAGCGACTGCATCAGCTGCACTAGCTGTCCCGCATGGCTGCCAAAGGTGAGGGTAAGCATTGGCTTGCCACAAATCATTTGCAGTAGTCGCAGACTCTGCGCCACAGAAGGCAGCGCCGAGGTATTCCCTTGCAAATATAGGCATTCGTAGAGCTGCATTGAAGGAGTGATAGAAAGTGAGTAAATGGATTTGGATGTCTAGCCAGGATTTAGTATTTCTTTGAAATGAGTAGAACCTCTTTGAGCGTTAGACTGGAGGAAGATCATCATCTATAGTTCGGTTTATCTTCATTTCAAATTAAATGCCAATAGCTGACCGTAAACTCCACTCACATTTGGCAGCTCCAGACTCAGCACGCCCTGATCGAGGTATATGAAGTCCCAGTTGTAATGATGCAGCTGGACGAGACCCCAGAGGCCGGCCTGTTCGAGCAACGCATGAAAATACGCATAGCAGCTGGGCACGCAAATGATGTGAACCATGCGCAGCGCTAGATCGGGTGACTCAGTGGGCGTGGCTAGGGTAAGGGGTTGCAGTTGACGCAGCAGCGTCTGTAAAGTGCCCAGCAGACTGCGTATCATGTAGATGTGCACCTGGTCGTCATCTCGATGCAGTCTTTGTTTTGTATCCAGTTTGTAGATACGTTGAATGCCCTTCAATCTGTAAATTGTGTTGTTTAATAACAAGTTTAATAAGATATGCGTGGACTACTCACTTCAACCAGGAGGCGGTGCATACATGTTCGAGCGGCTTGATCAGCTCGGGCTCTAAGATGAGCTCCTTTTTGCCCGGTATGGAGCATAGTATTGCCTGCAACTGAACCGAAGACATACAAAAATTGCATTTTATTACAATAAATTAGATGGTGCACACATACACACACACACCCGTACACCCGTACACACACACCTTTTCCTGTGCCACCAGTTGAAATCCCTGCAATTTCTTCTCCAGCGTCACATCCATTTAGGGGAACTTCTACCGATACTTTTGACGTTTCCAAAATACCGATAAGAGGCATGCGCCGATAACATTCCCGACGATGTATCGATTAATTTGTTAATAAATGCGCCAACATATTCTAATAAGAAAACAAATTAATTATTGACCATTTTTAATAATGAAAAAAAAAACAAATCATGGCTTATATGACACTACTGTAGGTTTTGAATCATAAAAAGGTGGTTTTAAGAGAGTAAAATTATCAGACTAATCTTATCAAATTATATTACTTATTTACCAATCGTTGAAAATAATCACACATTTTTCAAACGTTTTGAGAATCAAAGTAGATAATTTGGTATAATGCACTTTGGTGCATTTCAAATTGAAATGCATTATCTATTTTATGATAAGATATGGTCAACAATATTTTACGATTTCGAACAAAGAAGATAAAAATTACAGCTTTTGGACACAAAATAATGACTACCGATGACTGTCAGGAATCAGTACTCAGTATTGCACATTGCACATACAACGTATAGTTCAGATAGTACAAATAAGTACAAGTAGCACAAATACAAAATAATATATACTACGATGACAACAACAACCAATAATGAAAGCTTTAATGCTGATGAGCTGGAGGCACCCAAGTGGCTAAATGATCGTTTCATTGAGGAAGTGTTGAGCAAAAATGAGAATGCGCCAGAACTAAAAGTTTTGGATGTTCAGATGTCTCCAGCCAGTGAGAAGGGGGATCACTATGCGAGCGTTATGTTTCGTGGCAACGCTACGTATACCACGGAGAAAGGGAAGTTCTCAAAATCGCTGATCATCAAGACAATGCCCGAAGCGGAGGGTCACAAAAAAGAAATGTTAAGTGAATCGCATCTCTTTGAGACTGAAATTGGCTTGTATACAAAAGTGTTGCCCAAATTCGAGCAAATCTTACGCGATGCTGGAGATAATACTCGGCTTTATGTGCCCTGTATATACACAAGCTTGAAGCCTCGGCAGGTGATGGTCTTTGAGGATCTGGTGCCACAAGGATATGAGGTCATAAGGGATCGGGAGTCAAACATCGAGGAGATAAAGAGTGCGTTTTCTAAGCTCGCCAAATGGCATGCAGTTAGTGTTCACGTATTACATGAGGTAAGTAATTAGTAGGATTACTTAATTACATTTTAATAACACAGTTATTCTTGTTTAGCAACCGGATTACTTGCAAGAATTTAAATATGGCATGTTTGACATGCCAACCATTAAGGAAGACCCCTTCGTATCAACTGGCATGAGCAAGTTCATTACAATACTGGAAGATGTTCCAGTATTGAGAAAGTATTTACCGTTTTTTAAGAATATAGAAAATGATTATCTGGACCGTTGTGGTATTGTACTGCAGGAGTATCGTAAGAATCGCCAGCCCAATGGGTATTATGTTCTATGCCATGGGGACTTTCATCTCCGTAATATGATGTTCAAGCACAACAAAGTAGATGGAAAATTGGAAGATGTCATGTTGATAGATTTCCAAATAAGCAACATATGCCCTATAACCATCGATTTGATCTATGCCATTTACATGTTGATGGGTGTGGAAGATCGTCAAAATAACTATAAGGAATTAATTAACTATTACTTCTCTGAGTTTATCGCAACTTTGCAGAAAATTGGCTTTAAGGGTGAACTACCGAATTCTGAGGAGTTCTGGAAACAAATGTCCCAAACATAAATACTATGGTGGGTTTTGACATGGAATGGTTTAGATTGCAAATTTCTCAATATTATATATTTTCACTTCCATTTGCAGAAATTTTCCTATTAACAACATTTTTGCCCTTGATTTCTGCCCTTATGGATAAAAGTATTGATGTCGCCGATGTGATGCAAAAGGATGAAGTGCGGGCGAATTTGTACCGATTAGACAATTACATTCAAGATGCAAAGGGCGTGCTCTCCAGATTCGAAAAACTGGGATATTTTGATTGATATGGATATGTTTGATAAGATAAATATAATGATAAGCTGGCTTGATAAAAATGATAGCGAGGGGATATGTATTGCCATAATAAAAGTACGACAATGCTTAAACTAACCACTTTTATAGTTAAAGCAAAAAAAGATTTCCAATGACAAGCTGTATAAGCATAAACTGAAAAATAAATAAAATATTTGGTTTAGAATACATTTCATTTACAGTCAAGGGCGTATCCAGTTGCCACCTTGCCAAACCCCTAGGTAATTGTTATCATAGAGAAATCAATTATTAGATTACTTCCGCATATGTTACATTTAGTGTCTATACGACTTTAAGGTGGAAGTCAGTTTATCTCTTAAAATAAGTTTTTCTAACCAAATAAAAGCTTACCAGATCCTTCAAAAACTATCGCAAAATCATTTAAAAATTGAATCTTCTTGTGGTTAGATTACCAATTAGTTTTTTCATTTAAAACCTGTCATTGCTATAGACATATATAATATCATTAGATTGCAGTCCTAGGAGGTGGTGACTGGTTAAGATTAGGTAAGCTAAGTGCGTTGGTCTAGAACAAGATTAAATATATCAAATTTTTGATCTGACTCATAAAAGCAGATTCGTATAAAAGTAGATAAATCGATTTTTGATATTAGAAAAGTCCTTTGACGTCAATAATAAAACAATAATAATACAATAAAACACTTGTTTTAAATTTCACTATGTAATTAATTTGAAATAATTATATTCAAATATCCCTTATCTTGCTAGATGCTTGTGGTTATCATCAATATCTACTTTATGACCCATTTTCAGGAATGAACAGAGAAAGAGGTAGAAAACTACTTGCATTTTTGATCGGAACTAAGTTGGCTCATTAACTCAGAAGAATCAGTATAACCATTTAATAGTTTAATAAGAAGATTATACCAAGCATTGTTCGGCGATCCGAAAGAGAAGAAAGATTTATTAATAAAAGTCTACTACGATTAATATGTAAGCTAATATTAGTATTTCAGTTAGGAACCCGAAGGGTAAATCCAATTTATCCGTTTCAGCTGTTAATTGGATGAATTCCATTTCGGTTACATTTATCATGTGTTATGGTAGCTAACTAAGCGCTTATCCACTCAAATTCTCAATTTATTTTATTTGGCTTAAGAGCTTTCGTAGCTTGCCAAGCAATTACTGACGAGCGACTTACAGATTGGAAAAGCTTAAAGTGACTCGTTTTATAACGAACTGCGCATCTGTAAACTAATGCTAGCTTGTAATGAGAATTTCTATGAATACCATAGGAATTGTGTTAAATCTAACCAAGAGTCTCTACTCTCTTGTAGCTCTTATGGTCTTTGAGAAATAAATAGGCAGTCAACCAGACGAATAAGGATAAATCAAGTTTTTCCACTATGCTCTGCTGATTATAATGGGCTTAGACGAGGTGGACATTACAGAATATTTAAGAAATATTACAAATTAAGTATAGATGCTATTTTTTGTACTTAAGTTTATGTGATGGACACATAACATTGAGCCAGTAAGCAACATGAAAAGATCTAATTCAAATGGTGCCCCTACCTGTTGAGCTGATTTATTTTTTTCACAAAATAACTATTTCAGAAATCACATTGTTGATAAAGCTCGTGAAAGCTTTCGAAAGCTTTTGCACACAAATTCGTTTAAATAGTTTAGCATAGTAGTGATGACTCTCAGTAATAAGTATTCAGTATTGCTGGAACATACAGCGGCTTGTACAACTACCTAATACAAATAATTCAAATAAAAAGTAGTATAGTCTGCGATGACAACAACAACCAATAATGATAGCTTTGCTGCTGATGAGTTGGAGGCACCCAAGTGGCTAAATGATCGGTTCATTGAGGAAGTGCTGAGTAAGCATGAGAATGCGCCAGAACTAAAAGTTTTGGATGTTAAGATGTCTCCAGCCAGTGAGAAGGGGGATCACTATGCAAGCATTATGTTTCGTGGCAACGCTACGTATACCACGGAGAAAGGGAAGTTCTCAAAATCGTTGATCATTAAGACAATGCCCGAAGCGGAGGGTCACAAAAAAGAAATGTTAAGTGAATCGCATCTCTTTGAGACTGAAATTGGCTTGTATACAAAAGTGTTGCCCAAATTCGAGCAAATCTTACGCGATGCTGGAGATAATACTCGGCTTTATGTGCCCTGTATATACACAAGCTTGAAGCCTCGGCAGGTGATGATCTTTGAGGATCTGGTGCCACAAGGATATGAGGTCATAAGGGATCGAGACTCAAACATCGAGGAGATAAAGTGTGCGTTTTCTAAGCTCGCCAAATGGCATGCAGTTAGCGTTCACGTATTACATGAGGTAAGTAATTAGTAGGATTACTTAATTACATTTTAATAACACAGTTATTCTTGTTTAGCAACCGGATTACTTGCAAGAATTTAAATATGGCATGTTTGACATGCCAACCATCAGGGAAGACCCCTTCGTAACAACTGGCATGAGCAAGTTCATTGCAATACTGGAAGATGTTCCAGAATTGAGAAAGTATTTACCGTTTTTTAAGAATATAGAAAATGATTATCTGGACCGTTGTGGTATTGTACTGCAGGAGTATCGTAAGAATCGCCAGCCCAATGGGTATTATGTTCTATGCCATGGGGACTTTCATCTCCGTAATATGATGTTCAAGCACAACAAAGTAGATGGAAAATTGGAAGATGTCATGTTGATAGATTTCCAAATAAGCAACATATGCCCTATAACCATCGATTTGATCTATGCCATTTACTTGTTTATGGGTGTGGAAGATCGACAAAATAACTATAAGGAATTAATTAACTATTACTTCTCTGAGTTTATCGCAACTTTGCAGAAAATTGGCTTTAAGGGTGAACTACCGAATTCTGAGGAGTTCTGGAAACAAATGTCCCAAACATAAATACTATGGTGGGTTTTGACATGGAATGGTTTAGATTGCAAATTTCTCAATATTATATATTTTCACTTCCATTTGCAGAAATTTTCCTATTAACAACATTTTTGCCCTTGATTTCTGCCCTTATGGATAAAAGTATTGATGTCGCCGATGTGATGCAAAAGGATGAAGTGCGGGCGAATTTGTACCGATTAGACAATTACATTCAAGATGCAAAGGGCGTGCTCTCCAGATTCGAAAAACTGGGATATTTTGATTGATATGGATATGTTTGATAAGATAAATATAATGATAAGCTGGCTTGATAAAAATGATAGCGAGGGGATATGTATTGCCATAATAAAAGTACGACAATGCTTAAACTAACCACTTTTATAGTTAAAGCAAAAAAAGATTTCCAATGACAAGCTGTATAAGCATAAACTGAAAAATAAATAAAATATTTGGTTTAGAATACATTTCATTTACAGTCAAGGGCGTATCCAGTTGCCACCTTGCCAAACCCCTAGGTAATTGTTATCATAGAGAAATCAATTATTAGATTACTTCCGCATATGTTACATTTAGTGTCTATACGACTTTAAGGTGGAAGTCAGTTTATCTCTTAAAATAAGTTTTTCTAACCAAATAAAAGCTTACCAGATCCTTCAAAAACTATCGCAAAATCATTTAAAAATTGAATCTTCTTGTGGAGATTTTTTAGTTGGACGTGCTCAGTATTCCACATATTAAACAAATAGTTCTGTTAATTTGGCATCAAAAACAAAAAATTATAGCATTAATGTAGATGAGTTGGAGACGCCGAATTGGCTAAATGCACAGTTCGTTGTGGCCGTTAGCAATGACGACGCATAGTCCTCATCCCTGTCAATAATCAGCCAGATACCAAAGTCTGGCGAATTTTTGTGCTCAGGCATCAGCGACTGAAGAGAGAGAATTTCTTTAAAAAGTCGCTTAACTTGTAAATCGAGCCCAAATTTGAGGCGGTATGCAGGCGATAATGATTGTGCATAAAGTGCCTGATTTAATGTCCGACGAGTCACAATTTCAAAAGATACGCACCAATCAAAGCTGAAACTTAACTGATAACGAATACCAAAGTTACTAAATTAAACGGTTAGATTACCAATTAGTTTTTTCATTAAAAACCTGTCATTGCTATAGACATATACAATTTCATTAGATTGCAGTCCTAGGAGGTGGTGACTGGTTAAGATTAGGTAAGCTAAGTGCGTTGGTCTAGAACAAGATTAAATATATCAAATTTTTGATATGACTCATAAAAGCTGATTTATATAAAAGTGTCTCATAGATAAATCGATTTTTGATATTAGAAAAGTCCTTTGACGTCAATAATAAAACAATAAAACACTTGTTTTAAATTTCACTTTGTAATTAATTTGAAATAATTATATTCAAATACCCCTTATCTTGCTAGATGTTTGTGGTTATCATCAATACCTACTTTATGACCCATTTTCAGGAATGAACAGAGAAAGAGGTAGAAAACTACTTGCATTTTTGATCGGAACTAAGTTGGCTCATTAACTCAGAAGAATCAGTATAACCATTTAATAGTTTTAATAAGAAGATTATACCAAGCATTGTTCGGCGATCCGAAAAAGAAGAAAGATTTATTAATAAAAGTCTACTACGATAAATATGTAAGCTAATATTAGTATTTCAGTTAGGAACCCGAAGGGTAAATCCAATTTATCCGTTTCAGCTGTTAATTGGATGAATTCCATTTCGGTTACATTTATCATGTGTTATGGTAGCTAACTAAGCGCTTATCCACTCAAATTCTCAATTTATTTTATTTGGCTTAAGAGCTTTCGTAGCTTGCCAAGCAATTACTGACGAGCGACTTACAGATTGGAAAAGCTTAAAGTGACTCGTTTTATAACGAACTGCGCATCTGTAAACTAATGCTAGCTTGTAATGAGAATTTCTATGAATACCATAGGAATACCATAGGAATTGTGTTAAATCTAACCAAGAGTCTCTACTCTCTTGTAGCTCTTATGGTCTTTGAGAAATAAATAGGCAGTCAACCAGACGAATAAGGATAAATCAAGTTTTTCCACTATGCTCTGCTGATTATAATGGGCTTAGACGAGGTGGACATTACAGAATATTTAAGAAATATTACAAATTAAGTATAGATGCTATTTTTTGTACTTAAGTTTATGTGATGGACACATAACATTGAGCCAGTAAGCAACATGAAAAGATCTAATTCAAATGGTGCCCCTACCTGTTGAGCTGATTTATTTTTTTCACAAAATAACTATTTCAGAAATCACATTGTTGATAAAGCTCGTGAAAGCTTTCGAAAGCTTTTGCACACAAATTCGTTTAAATAGTTTAGCATAGTAGTGATGACTCTCAGTAATAAGTATTCAGTATTGCTGGAACATACAGCGGCTTGTACAACTACCTAATACAAATAATTCAAATAAAAAGTAGTATAGTCTGCGATGACAACAACAACCGATAATGATAGCTTTAATGCTGATGAGTTGGAGGCACCCAAGTGGCTAAATGATCGGTTCATTGAGGAAGTGCTGAGTAAGCATGAGAATGCGCCAGAACTAAAAGTTTTGGATGTTAAGATGTCTCCAGCCAGTGAGAAGGGGGATCACTATGCAAGCATTATGTTTCGTGGCAACGCTACGTATACCACGGAGAAAGGGAAGTTCTCAAAATCGCTGATCATCAAGACAATGCCCGAAGCGGAGGGTCACAAAAAAGAAATGTTAAGTGAATCGCCTCTCTTTGAGACTGAAATTGGCTTGTATACAAAAGTGTTGCCCAAATTCGAGCAAATCTTACGCGATGCTGGAGATAATACTCGGCTTTATGTGCCCTGTATATACACAAGCTTGAAGCCTCGGCAGGTGATGATCTTTGAGGATCTGGTGCCACAAGGATATGAGGTCATAAGGGATCGAGACTCAAACATCGAGGAGATAAAGTGTGCGTTTTCTAAGCTCGCCAAATGGCATGCAGTTAGCGTTCACGTATTACATGAGGTAAGTAATTAGTAGGATTACTTAATTACATTTTAATAACACAGTTATTCTTGTTTAGCAACCGGATTACTTGCAAGAATTTAAATATGGCATGTTTGACATGCCAACCATCAGGGAAGACCCCTTCGTAACAACTGGCATGAGCAAGTTCATTGCAATACTGGAAGATGTTCCAGAATTGAGAAAGTATTTACCGTTTTTTAAGAATATAGAAAATGATTATCTGGATCGTTGTGGTATTGTACTGCAGGAGTATCGTAAGAATCGCCAGCCCAATGGGTATTATGTTCTATGCCATGGGGACTTTCATCTCCGTAATATGATGTTCAAGCACAACAAAGTAGATGGAAAATTGGAAGATGTCATGTTGATAGATTTCCAAATAAGCAACATATGCCCTATAACCATCGATTTGATCTATGCCATTTACTTGTTTATGGGTGTGGAAGATCGACAAAATAACTATAAGGAATTAATTAACTATTACTTCTCTGAGTTTATCGCAACTTTGCAGAAAATTGGCTTTAAGGGTGAACTACCGAATTCTGAGGAGTTCTGGAAACAAATGTCCCAACATAAATACTATGGTGGGTTTTGACATGGAATGGTTTAGATTGCAAATTTCTCAATATTATATATTTTCACTTCCATTTGCAGAAATTTTCCTATTAACAACATTTTTGCCCTTGATTTCTGCCTTTATGGATAAAAGTATTGATGTCGGCGATGTGATGCAAAAGGATGAAGTGCGGATGAATTTGTACCGATTAGACAATTACATTCAAGATGCAAAGGGCGTGCTCTCCAGATTCGAAAAACTGGGATATTTTGATTGATATGAATATGATTGATAAGAAAGTATAAAAGAAAACTCGATAGAAATTAAAACGAGAGAATATTGATTGCCAAAAAAAGCAAATGATACAACAATGTTTAAATAAATCACTTAAAAAGGAGTTCCGAGCAAAAACTGTTTTAAAATTAACTAATAAATAACTTGTATAGATAAAATATCATTTACAGTTACAGTTACTCAGCTGCCCCGTTCAGCTGTGTACGCTCCTGATTCGAGTTATTATAATAATTATTAATTCATTAATTTAATTATTACAATTATTACAATTATTATAATAGCTAGGATGTAAATGTTATTTCAGAACAATCAATTTTTAGCTTACTTGCCACATTAAATGATTGGAAATTTTTGTAATTATCTTTTAATACTATTATTTATAATAGTGTTTTTATTGAACTACCCCATCCAAATTATTAAGTCTCTTAAATTGAATATATTCACTCACCAAATTAAAACTTACCAGACCTTTTTAAAACTTGCAAATATTTCATCTCCGCCATTCAAGCACAACAAGGTGTATGGTAATTTAAAAGATGTCATGTTAATAGATTTACAATGTGATCTACATATGTATGCCATTCAGGCTCAGAATATCTGCAAGGAACTAATTACCAGTTACCTCTCCGACCTTATTGCCGAAAACTGGCTTTAAGTGTGAAATTCCGTATTCTGTGGAGTTTTTATAACAAATGTACTAACATAAATTACTACTTAATTAAATATTTGCCTCAAGTTTAAGGATGTTGTAAGGTTATGTCAATATTGAAAGCATTTGTTGACTAGATTCTAGGCACATGGTTTTTTTTCTGAGTAACTTGGAGAACAAGATACTAATTGGCGTTAATAAATCACATTATTAATACTACTTTGGTATGATTAGTTGATTAACATGACTCTCTTATTCAAAGTTTTCGATTAAATGGGGAATACATCAATATCAATATTATCAATAATATTTGATAATAATTTTTAGAGAATCCATTCAAGCTTATCGCTATTGATAACATTTAATCGAACCGATTGATTGATAACAAATAATTTCTTTTTGTGTTGGGTTATTTTATAGATTTTTTAACTGCATGCAGAAAATAATGATTGTGGCTTTAGAGTTGAGGTGCATTTTGCTGTAACGAATAGAGCTTTAAAAGCCATTTTATTGTATACTGGAAGCCCTATTTTTCTTTGATCTGTTGTGTGGAACTTGTTCGAAGAGAGTTACGTATCCAAAAATCCAGATAGTTCAAACTCTTTGACAGTGCGTTGTAGAAATGCACGATATTTGGGATTCTCAACGTTCTCGCGTCTGAATTGATCGCCAATCTCAGTGCGAGAGTTCAAATCCTCCAGATTTTCAAAGCTAGCATCTTCTCTGAATATCAGAGGTGTTAGACAGGTGGACGCAATGACACCTAGAATATTGAATATAGAAGAATCCTTAATATTGCATATAGGACATGGAATTAAAAAAAAAAGCTCACCAATTAAACTGTTGTTGATCAGTTCAATGTGAATCTCTTTGAGAGTTGGAATGTGTCCTTGGTATTTCAACTTTTCAAGAGTTTGCTGAAGCACTCGGTGATATTCCCGTATAATATACTTTAAATGCACTTTTCGTACATTCTCATTGAGAGAGCCGTACAAAAAATAGTTAAGATCAACAGCTGGCGAGCCCACATAAGCCAACTGGAAGTCCAGCTACAAAAGATTCCAATGGTTATAACTGGATGTGTTTATGTATGAGAAAAAATGAACTTACAGCAACAACATTGTCGGGTTCCTTGGTCTCATTGTTGACGTGAAACATTAAATTGTTGATCCAAATGTCGGCCATGTTGAACACACTGAAGATCGGCTCCTGCTCGTACATCTTGATGGAGCTCTGGAGAACATTTTCAGCCAGCTTGAACATCTTCTCGGTGATCTCCTCGAAGCCCTTCCAGTGCGCAATCTCCTCGGCCACACAGCGTATGTTAACCGGAAAGAAGCTGAGAAAGTCGCGACGATCGGGATTGCGGGAAATGGGAGCCTCATTGAAGAACTCCAGCACCTCGGGATTTTCTTTGGCAATGACAGCGCTGCAGGCATGGAGCTTGGCCAGCTTCTCAACACTGGGCAGCACATAGTCCAGATTGAGCAGGCGGCCGCGTTCAAAGTTCTCAAAGCCACTCAGCTGCATGTCCTCCAATATGATAAACGGTTCCGGACTCTCCGTCGTATAATAGCAAGTGGGCGCAATTTGTGACTTGTCGCCAATGGACTCGAGCAGGGCTTGCACTCGAGGCAGCACCTCCCTGTAGGCGAGGATTTCGCGCTTGAAGAGCTTGCTACGCAACGCAATTGCACCCGTTTGACCCTTCGGATGATCCTTGACGAAAACGGAGAACTTGGTCTTCACATCGCCGCGCTGCAGTTGGAAGCAGGCGCGATGCATTTCGCTGGCAAAGCCAGCAACCACATCACCAACTTGGGCGCTCTTCACCAGCAAATCGCTGACTGTCAGCGACTCCTCCTTGAAGTGCTCCTTCAGCACATCCTGCAGAAATTCAACTGTCAGCCAATCGGGTGCCTGATAGTTTTTCTTGCCAGTGCCCATTTTGAATTCACTTTTCTTTTCAACTTTTTCAAGTCACCTGACCAAGCGAACGAAAAAAAATAAATAACTTTATAAATGAGTTGAGTAGCAGAGCGCTGGCGGCTGTCGCGTTAAGCTGCTAAGTGAAGAGTGCGACTGCGAGACGCCCGCATCTGAAAGCTCTCCAAGCACAGCCCACGTGCCCATGAAAGCTCTCTCTGTTTTTAGCTTTTCACTGAGGCTTATCAGCTGACGCTTACCAGCTTTATTTAAATAAGAGCGTGTCGAATATTGCGATAGTCCGAGAAGAGCAAGAACGCTTCTTATAGTCGACTACTTAACACCCTATGTTATAAATCAAGTACTCATTTTGGTTGCTCATTTTAAGATAAACAGCGACTCATATAAAGTGTGTTTTACGAGACCATAAATTAGAAAGTTTGTGTCATAACTGAAATATATTCAAGTTGTCAAACAAAAATATTATCGACCAAGCACACAGGAATGTTGATTAGCAAAACTGTACAATTTAAAGGGAATGTCGACCTATCACTCTAATTAGTAGTGAATATAATTAAAGGTCTTTGGTTTTAATGTTCATATTTTATACCCTGTACCCATTACAAATTGGTGAAAAGGTTAATATGAAGTTAAGCAAATATATGCAACACAACAGAACACATTTTTGATCAGCATCCGTCGAGTTGATCTAGGCCATGTCTGTCTGATTAAAATAAACTGATGTAAACAATAAAAATAAAAAGTGCTGTTGGTGCTCCGAATGCAAAATTCAAATTTCGTTGTCTCTTTGTAAATTGCATTTAAACATAATGATGAAGACAACGGCAGAGAAACCTGAAGAGAGCGCATTTTCCAGATGCTTAAAGCTAATCAGATACTGAATTTTAAAACTAAAATTTAACATAATAATATTTTAGTTGTTTAAACCTAATAAACCAAACAGCATAGAACAGCTGTGTAAATGCTTGAAATGTGGCTGCTGTTGTTTCTTTTTTTTTTTTTTGCGAACTGCGATGCTCTGCAAATATCGACGAAAGGCTTAAAATATTTTATTAAACTGCTTCATTAAGACATTTTTTTTTTATAAATTAGTTTTGTTCTGTGTTGAAAGATTTAAGAGTGAAAAGCGAAAGAAAATGATGTGCATCGATTCCTCTGCTGCTGTGTCAACGGCTAAGCAAAAGATAGTGTATTATAAAAATTATTAAATTTTTAAACTGATTCTATAATAATTTATGTTAGTAAATAAGGGTAAATGAGACCAGTCGTAGCCATACATATGTTAGTTAGTTAATGTCAGGGCTCATATAGAGTATCATCTAGCCAATCACATTAACTCTCACATTTACTTGCTCTTGTTTTGCTCCAATAGCTTAACATTTCTGATGTGTGTTTGATAAAATTTTCAACAAACTTTGACGCAGAAAAACAACTGATAAATCTTCAAGATAACCAACGTGACTTCTATTTACAGATAGGGGAAATTCGTCTACAGTGGGCTAAGTACAACAAAATACTTGCTTAAAACTCTAAAAGGCCACGCCTATGCAGAAACGGAAATATGCTCAGGCCGGCACGAACATACAATGGATTTGTATAGATTTTGGAACGAAAGCGATCCCCCTCCTCGCCGGGTAGCATTAGTTTCGGTAGGCTTCCACCGCTGTCCACTGGTAGGAGAATAAGCACCAGATGCATAAAGGTGGTAAAGTAGCCTGACAGAGAATTATAGAAGATCATTGTACATAGAGAACTTGTTGCAATAGTGATCAACTCACCCCAGAAACCATGCTTGATCATGCTCATGTGCAGATCTCTGAGCAATGGCAGCGGTTTGGTATAGTTCAATAGCTTCAGGCACTGTATCAGATGCGTATGATATATTCTGATAAAATAATCGAATTGTTTGATTCTCAGACTGTGGTGCGATGAACAGAGGATCAGTTCCCAGAGATCTTGAGCGGGACTACCCCATTTGCAGCGTTGAAAATCGACGAAGCACAACTCATTGATATCACTGGACAACGGGTTATTTAGTAAAATATTTCCAGACCAGAAATCACCATGATTAAGCACATTGAATTCCTGCGGATCGTTGTTGAAGCAGCGCGCTGCAGATTGTACAAATTGATCAGCTGTGGGCTGGAGAATAAATGGGGTTATATTGAGGAGAATTGCTACTGTTCGTTTTAGTTTAGTCTTGTAAAATCGGTGAAAGAAATTACAATATAAATTTTCACTTAGATTTGTGATTTTTTCACTGTAAATATACATATATATTGAGTACTTACAATACGACTCGTATACTGCTCGGGATTGCTGAAACCCCAGGAAGCCATGGCCGTCTTGAAGCTCTGTATGCGCGCCTGATACGACTTGGATTTGTGATAGTTGGCAGGCAAATAGACACGCTGAAAGTCCTCCGGATAGGCGCCATTCCGCTGATGCCAAACAGCACTGGCCGCATGGAATTCAGCCAGTTTCTGTAGCACACGTTGCATTTGCTTCATATTGAAACCTTTGAGTCGATTTATGTTGCCAAACTTTTTGGTCTTCATATCGTCCAGCACCAGAGAGATGCGCCCATTCACATCCTCTGCCCAATGGCATTTGGGCGCGAACTTGACAGTTCTGCCCTGCTCCTGATAGAGCTGCTCCAGCTGCGGTATGATCAGCTCATACATTTGCTTCTCCTTGGGAAAGATGTTCAGGGTATTGATGAAGCCTATGCCCTGCGCATCGGCCAGCATAGTCTTCATAATATACGACTTTTGCTGTGTGAAGCCATCTGTAAGGAATTTTAAAAATTTATTTGAATGCATACTCTATACAAGTTTATAATGGACTTTGGATGTTGTAATTTTGACACCTTAGGGAAAATCATTTAAGACTTTATGTTATTAGAATACTTCCTGGGATAAGCAATATAATTTTTTGTATTTTTCGCTTTTAGTTTTTACAAATAATTAAATAATTTAAGAATGAGCTCAGAATTTAATTCTTAAGAATTTATTATTTTTCTGCAAGCAAACAACGTCTAAAAACGATATGCATATTTTCGTATTTTTAAATGGAGTAAAATGTTTTTCAATCGATTACGCTCTTTTTTGTAGACGTTTAGTGAATGATCGAGAAAAGCATCAGTTTTCCGAGTGTAGTTATTAGGTCAGCGTCATTGTGTTTACCTTTATTTAGCCCAGCTCACCTTTCATTTCAATGTCGATGATAATGCGCATTAGCAACGATGTGTAGCTGTCACAGTCGCCCGGCGGCGAGGCCGGTATTATCGAGAGATTCAATATTTTGCGAAAATCTTTGAGTTCACGCTTAAGTAGCTTCTTAAAGTACGGGCCATTGATCCAGCTGGGTATATGGACGAGTATATCGTTCGATTCGCAGAATTTGTTGCTGTTATCGGGCATTCTGACTCTGGCGAGTTTATATGCACAATATATATATATATCTGTATATATATATATATATACTTATGTATATATATATATGGTATGTGGATGTGGAATCTTGCCTCGTTGTAATTCGGTTCGTTCTGTTCGCGACGAACAGCGAGACGCAACTGTTGTTTGCATTCTTATCAAGCATGATTTGCAGGCCCCTGTTACTGTTTCAGTTTCGGTTTCGGTTTCTTGGCACGCACAACACTTACAAATATATAGATATTATAGAATGTAGGTGTTTTAGCCAGACGCAAGGCAGGTGAGTTTTTGGGAGGCGCTCTTGAAATCTTATCAGACAGTGTGTTCTCCTTATTTATTTCAACCGGTTCGTCAAGTGCTACGTTAATTGAGTATGATACTAATCAAGAGCGCGAAAGAGAGAGAGAAAGAGAGAGAGAGAGAGAGTGATTGAGAGGGAAAGAGAGCGAGGGAGCCAGACACTGAAAGAGGTATAGAGCGAGGGGAAATACGAGAGTAATTTATATTAGTTATGGTCAAGCAATATATTTGTTTACTGGGTTTTTAGATATGCATACATATGATCACATTTTCATAATATATATATATATATATATGTATGTATATATATACTGCTAATGTCCATCATATACATCTGAAAAGAGCTGTGAGCCCTGTATTAAATTAAACGTATTTCTATTAATTTTAGACTGTAATCATAGGCACTTAATATATTTGCAATATTTGCCATCAATTATTAATCTGATATTTGCATTTTTTTGCGCAAGGTTACAATTCGAGGCGTTCAATGTAAAACTAGCTCAAACTGGACTCAATAAAGACACCGTTTTTATTATTGAATAAACAGAACAATAACCAACAATAATCAACGATGTCACATTAAAAGAAATGAATCAACGTTTTCAATGTTTTAAACGTCAAATGTACATAAGGAAAGTCTATTCACATATATGTAGCTTATAAATTTATATTACAAGACATCTAGGTTTGTTCAAAAGAACGTCAGACAAATTTATTATCCTACTAAGACAACAAGCTTCATTTAGATGTTATCGCTAAAACTAACGATTTGCCCACTGGCTGCAGCTGATAAGACAACCTGTACTTCAACAAAACAAAGTCTATCAAAACAGTGCCTAACAAAAGTTGACTGAATTCAAAACAAAACCACATCAAAATAGAACTATTCGCAGCCATAATAAAATTTATATAAATTCTTTATATTGATAAGAATTCACATTTGAGCTGGATAATTTTCAACTGTCTTCAATGTCTTACGCTGTGGCGCAAATGGTCTCTTCGGAACAGTATGCTTCGATATCATTTTAGTACACTGGTCTCCCCAGCCTGAAGTTGATTCCATCTCATCCACGGCTTCTTTCCGTTTTCTATGTGCTGGCTGCGGTTGCTGATGCATCACAAAAGGTGGTGACTCCACTAACATTAGTCGCTGCTTCAGCGACATCCCAACTGACGTTGCCAGATGGGCTGGAGTGATTGGAGAAACTGGTGTCTCTAAAAGCCTTTGCTTAAATCGCGCTCTGGGATAAGTTGGTATGATTGGAGAAGCTGGTGCCTCCAATTGCCTTGACGTAAATGTACATCTCAGAAAAGCTGGCATAGATGTTTTCTTCAACAGCCTTGGCACGTATTTAGATCTCGGAAGAGTTGGTATGGTCAGTGGTACAGGTAGCTGCAACAGCCACGGCATGATTAGAGATGCTGGTGGCTGCAATAGACCGGGCACAACTGATTTCTTTGGTGAGATTGGTGTTAAGGCTCCTTTCCATGGTGTAGTTGGTGGTTTCTGATCCTGGGCCATCGCAAATGGTGGGTTTGGACGTGTTGGTTGTGATGGATTCGGATTCCTGATTGGAGATTCTGGTGGATACTCCTGCTCAGGCATAAATGGAATGGGTGACTGACTCTTGTATCGTCCACTCCACTTCGGTGGCTCCGGCGAATCCAGTTCGATAGCTGCCGACATAAATTTCTCATTGGCCAATTCCTGTTTCAACTGTCGCAGATTGTGCGCTGCCTGATTTCTCATCCACTTATCACGCCGGGCGTAAGTTGTGGGCGAAAGAATTGGGTAATCAGAACTGCGTTCCGGGTCCTGTGAAACAGCATTAAAACTGCGTTGCGGAAAAGTCATCAACAGGAAAATTAACTCACGTAAGGCTCCAACAAATCCTTGTATTTTACCCGCAGCATTGCGCTTCTTTGTTTGCTGTCCAGGATTGTTTTTTAATTTTTTTGAATTATACACTTTGTGAACATTTAATTTTCTTGTATTATTTATTTATTTTTCTTTAAGAAGGAAACAACATTCAGAGCACACACACAGTTCAATTATGGAGTGAAAATCTAGGATTTGCCACAAATTAATTTGAAACGTCAATTTGACATTGTAAATTTCGATTTTTACAAGCTAAATCGATATGTTTTGAAATAAATGGTAGAAATGAATACTGTGCTAATTAAATTCTAATTACGTCTTCTAAATAATAAATCATAATTAATGTACAAAAATAACATAATTCGAAGTGGATCCTGTTTTGTTCAAAAATTGAGCGCAAAGAGAACCACATAACTGATGAATAGCAATATATCTTTCAGATTTGGTGAATCTAGCTTTCAAATTGTGTGAGATATAAGGTATTATCGATTTACAGGTTTGTCGGCTTAGTGCGGCGGAGTGGGCGTGGTCATCTAATTTCTTATCGATCTCTTAGGAGAGTTACGCATTTAAGATTACTAAGGTTAAAGTTCCTGGGGGCGGCGGGTGTAGGCGTGGTCTAAAAATTTATATGACAATCTTTGGAGGAGGCTACCAGCGAGTTACCTTCCAAGTTTGGTCACTCTCTCTTCAAATTGAGGGAGATATGCGAACTTATCGATTTACACTTTCCGAAATATCGGCATTGGCGATTATGGGCCCAGGTGTGGGCATGGGCATATAACATTGTTATCGGGTTTTAAAGGCTACCAATAATATATCTACCTTATTTGACAACTCTAACACAAAAACTGCGGAAGATATAGCCATTTAAAATGTTTATAGGTGAGGGGCATGGCTGCGGCGGAGGTGGGCGTGACCGACCTTTGAAGGACATCACCAACAATCTACCAAATTTGGTGACTGTAGTTTTAAAATTGTGTGAGATATTTGGCTTTATCGACTTGCGAATATCGATTTTATCGATTTCCTAGCCAGCTATATGATATAGTGATACTACTCTGATACTACTATGGTACTGTCTGCGGACAGATATGTGCAGAGTTTAATCAAGATTGATAAAATCTGACGGATTAGTTTGCACAGAAACAGACAGACATACTTATAGTGACTCGACTAGCGATGCTGATCAATATTATATATATTATATATTATATTAAATATAGATCGGGGAGGTTTCTTTCCATACATTGAAACTTCACGATGAAATTAGTGTACACTCAACAAGTGTGCAAAAATACAGTGTTCGTGACCGTAATCAAATGATAAGAATAATATCTGTGTGGTACTATTTATTTTATTTGCAAGTTTATAACATTACAGATTGTATTATCTATGTCTATGATTGTAGCTCATAGTCATCAAAATTCAACACTCCGCGATTGTAATAGAATGGATACAAATCCTTCATGATGTTGCCAAAGATGGGATTAGACGTAAGACGCAGTCTCAATTGTTCAGCCTCCTCACTTTCAGACTGCAGTGAGTGAAAATTGCTATCCTTATCGGTGGGGAACACAATCAAAGGCAGATGATTAGTGAGTGCAAAGAAGACTATAAAAAAGAAATATATTTAATTATGTGAGCTATAATATATTTCGTGTGAATTTTACCATAAAAAGAGTTGTTCTTTTTGTACAGGGACGAATGTAGATCACGTAACATGGGCAAGGGCTTCTGGTATTTTAAGAGTTTCAGACACTCCACCAATCGTTCCCAATAGATGCAGATAAAGTGATCGAATTCCTTGAGGCGTATATCGTTTGCAGCCGATAGAGTGATGAAAAATAATAGATCTATGGCTGGACTACCCCATTTACAGATTTGGAAGTCAACCAATAAGAGTTGATCTACCTTGCCATTTGGTAAATAATTACACATTAGGTTACTTGACCAGAAGTCGCCATGCGTTAAGGTATTAAATTCCTTGGGATCAACTTCAAAAGTGCTGATACACTGTGCCCTATACTGCTCCGCAGTTGGCTAAAAAGATAAATAAATAGTTAAGTGCATTATCTAAACAATTTCAACTTATTTGAGAATAATACTTACAAAGCTCTTTATATATTTTTCGGCATCCTTCATGCCCCATGTGGCCATTGACTTTTTGTAGGACTTCTCCCGTAACTTGAAACTATCCATTAAAAATGAAGAGTTGTTGCGTGGAACGAATCCATCATCAAAATCACTCGGATATGGACCGTGTTGCTCTGCGTAAACTGAGCCGGCTGCATGAAATTCGGCCAACTTGTGCAAGGTACGAATCATATGTTCCATATCCAGGCCCTTGATGCGATCCACATTCCGGAACTTCTTAACACCCAGATCCTCAAAAATAAAGTGAATATTGCCCTCGCGCTCCTCTGTGTGCAGACACTTGGGCGCAATCTGTATATCCTCACCGGCTTCCTTATAGAGTGCCTCGAAGGCATGCAGATATGTCTGGTACATCTTCAGTTCCTTAGGGAACAGACCGAATTCCGCAATTTCAGTTCCACCCCTTTCGCTGGCCAGCATTGTCTTCAAGATATAGGTTTTTGTTTTTGTGCTGCCATCTAATAAATCGCAAACTTTTTAATATGGCTTAGTTGTCAGTAAAAACCTTTTCTACCTTTCATTTCCAGATCGATGTAAATACGCAGCATTATGGAGGTAAAGTTCTCGCCAGGCGGTATGGCCGCAACAGGTGTAAACTTTAGAACCTTTACATAATTCTCTTCGTCTTTGTCTAGCACGACTTTAAAATACTTTTCAGTTATCCAATCGGGTATAATTAGATGTTTGTTGGGATTAACTATCTTCTTCGAATCCGACATTCTTACGCCTCTCAAGCACGACTGATCCACAGAAAGTCTGGTGGTGCACTGAATTTATAGTTTTACCGAGCTCTCTAAAAAGCTCTTAAAACGATTCTTTATCAGCATATGTGTTTTACATAATATATAAAATATGTATGTATGTATACATGATGATAATTTTGATTGCGTTTTTTTATTTGTTGTCTGACCACAATTTGGTCTATCATGTTAACATGTTTAACTGATTTTAGTCAGCTTTCTGGGTCTCCTTCACTACGCGTGGACATAATTTGATAGTGAAAAAGTAAAAAATTTCATTATAACACTTAACTCACGTTTGGCTGACAATAATGTAGTACTTATTCTGAAAGTGTGTACGATTCTTTGTTTTGTCAGTGCTGAATTGGAATGTCATGCTTAACATGCGCTTATTGCTGTATCTGATTATACCCAGTAATTTCTTTTAGCCGAAATAATATTTCGCAAAAGAGATACAATTTTCATTATAAAATAAACTGAAACTAATTTATTATTGGGCCAGTTTGGACTATTCCGAGTTACTTTTATGAAATGGCAGATGACTTTTTTTTATACATTTTGAAGTTATCTATATGTCGACCCTTAGCCGTTGAGCTTTTCATTATAACTGAAAATATTTTGGGTTTCGGTACAAAAATTCGAAGTGCTGCAAATGAATATTTTCCAGTTTTAGAAAATAAAATCGATGCTAATATTTAAAAGATTAGACTAATTATAAGTAATAAAAGTAAGGAAAGTCACTTTAGGCAGTTAAGTAAGTGCGAAGAGCATCTCAATGTTTGAATTATCCATAGTTATAATAACAAGTTCTATGAATGCTAAATCAAGATTGATTTCTGTGCTTATGTGGTTTTTATTCAAACGAGGAATTATGAAGAATTCATTTACATAAATTTGTTTATTTTTGCTTTGTTTTATGGCTTCGCTTATAAAGTTTTGAAATCTTTGATAATTATAAAGAATTCTATACAACAAAATAATACATTCTACCATTATTCTGAAGTTTTGATATAACTAAATACGCAGATAATGATGATAGTAATAATAAATACAGCACTTTTTTTTACAAATTACATTATATTGTTTTATTTTCTTAACAACCATAATATATACACAATACGCAATAGTCAACAATAGATAATAACGTACATATAACAAGATAATATCCTCATAGAAGACCTTTGTTTTCAAAGAACGGATACAGCTGCCGCATAGCCTTGACGTAGTATGGATTGATGAAGGTTTTATAGCGGAAAGCGTCGCCCTCAGGTCCTGGTGTCATCATCGTATCTATACTGGAGTCTTTATCAGAGGGCATCATAGCGGCAACCAACGTGTTATTCGCTGTTATTGGACCTATAAATATATAATTATGAAACTTAATGTGACTAATTCATTATGAGCTTTGACAAACTTACCCCAATCGCCGTACTTATTCATTGTGGAGTGCAATTCCCTCAACGTTGGAACGTGCTTCGAGTATTTCAGCAATTTGAGGCATTCCACCAAGCGATCATGATAGATTCTAATGAAATGATCGAACTCCTTGACCTTGATGTCCAGTGCGGCTGATGTGGTTATCATATACCAAAGATCTTGAGCGGGAGATCCCCACTTGCCCACCTGCAAATCCACAAATATGGTGCGCTCTTCGGGTCCATCATCTGTGAACATTATATTATTGCACCATAGATCACCATGATTCAAAACATTGAATTCGTTTTCATCCACTTCTTTTAATGCAATGGCTTTGTCGATGAACTCCGTGACACTTGGTGCCATCGCAATATATTTCTCCACATCCGGCATTTGCCACTCCCTCATGGCTTTGAAATACTGTACGTTTCGCATTTTCGAAAGCCGCTCAAAAACTGGACGACTACTTTCGTTATAAAATGTTTCCAAATACATCTGTTCATAGGGTCCATTTTGTTCATAATTTACAACTGAAGCGGCATGCAACTCAGCCATTTTTCTCAATACTAGTCTCATGTGGGGCATGTCAAAACCCTTAAGTCGATCAATATTGTGGAAATTTTGACGCTTCAGATCCTCCAGCACCAGAGTAATGCACTCCGGTGTTTGCTCAATGTGCACACATTTGGGCGCCAATTCAATGTCAACTCCGGCATCCTTGTAAAGTCTGTTATAGTTGGGAATGTGCACCTGATACATCTGCATTTCCTTGGGAAATAAATTCATGGAAGACACAAGAGCACCGCCCTTATCCGAATCCAGCATTGTCTTCAAAATATATGAAATCTGTTTTTCACTTCCATCTATTAAAACAGAACATATTTATTTCGATAGCTTAAGTGACTTGGAGAAAGTGACTGTAGACTAACCTTTGAGCTCTATGTCGATGACAACACGCACCATAATCGAAGCGTAGTTTTCACCTGGTTGTGTTGCCGCAATGGGATTAAAGTTTTTGATACTCATAAAATCTGGTACATCTTTCTCTATAATGGGACGAAAGTAGTCCTCATTTATCCATTTGGGTATGGCAAGAAACTCGTTGGGATTCGCAGGTTTACTAGAATCGCTGTTATTATTGGGTGCCATCTTCTGCAAGAATGATATCAAATATATCACATATCCAATAAATTCAATGATCACTTTATACCGTTAACAACATATGGGATTATTATTAAAATATAGTACATAGTCGTTCTCTCAAGAAACTGGTTTGTAATTGTTCATACTTATTATATTTTTCAATTCAAATTAACTTACGGAAATTGAAAATATATTGTTGATGAAGAATCCCAATCGAAGCGCTCAAGAAATAATTGTCCAGCTTTAACAAACTTTAAACGTATACTGAACGCTCGTTGCCGAATGCTACTTTATAAAATACTATTGATAAACGTAGAAATGTAGTAAACCTGTATCTACGTGCATACACCATTAACTGGCAACTGTGTAGAAAAATTACTTTCTTGCTGTCATCACTATGACGTTCTAAGTACATAACAGGTTGTGGCTCGGTTTTTTGTTTGGGGGATCGTCAGCTCGACTTATTATATTCAATGTTGTTTTTGTCGCTTTTAACAATGAAATACACGGCAATATGAATTTCGTGAAACCGTAACACATTTTCTTATCATACATAACTCTTATCGCTTATAATATCTTTAACATATTTGGTTTTAACATTATATACAAATACATAGTTCATTGCAGATAATATATTTTAGTACATGCGTATAGTCTACATGAGAAATGATTAAGTCTTTATATATGTAATGCACACGTAGTTGAAGTTCACTTGATAAGAATATCGATAGAAAATCCAATGGATGAAATTTAGTAAGCAAATATCACAATGAAACTGATTTTTTGCCTTGGCAGTTAGAATCATTTCATAATTCTTTTCTTTGTCTGATCTTGACAAATGTTTTCTCTCTTCGATATTATGTCTTTGAAGAGGATATTATAATTTTGTGGTGAAGTTTGTAACGCATTCAACCCGTAGTTCATAGATCAGTCATTATATTGTTGCACAATTTCAAAATAATCTGTAGATATCAACATAAGAATATTACTTGCGTAATTATATTTATTTTAATACTTTCAGGGTTTTAAAAGATTATTTAGGCCGAAAACAAAAATAAAAAATACCCAATTGAAGGTACGAAGAGCTGTGATAATATTAATTCATGAATGATTACTGCGATGTTGAGGCTTATATTCGATCGAGAAATAAATAAATCACATAAAAATTTATTGTTTTTGGTTTTAATCTGTTCTTTGATTTCGCTAATGAAACACGAAATTCATATTTCCATTGATCAAATACTCACACTGCATAACTAAGCAGGTAGGTAAGAGTATACAAACGCCAGTAAGCAGCATAATCGATTTTTATCTTTGTACCTTAATTGAATACAAATTAGTTTTGCTTCGCTTATGCCAGTCATCGTTATTTTTCATTTACCAGGTTTGTTTGGCTTTGATTTAAGTAAATACTTTGATAATGATGATATTCATGATAGATAGATACAATATTATTTTTGTATACATTACAAAAGCTCAGTTTTATTTTAGTTATACTACACGATAGAACTATCAATAACATATACACAATACACAACAGATAAGTACATATAACAAGATAATATCCTTATAGAAGACCTTTGTTTTCAAAGAACGGATACAGTTGCCGCATAGCCTTGACGTAGTATGGATTGATGAAGGTCTTGAAGCAGTAGGCGTCGCCCTCAGGTCCTGGTGTCATTATTGTATCTATACTGGAGTCTTTATCAGAGGGCATCATAGCGGCAACCAACGTGTTATTCGCTGTTAATATACCTATAAATATATAATTATGAAACTTAATGTGACTAATTCATTATGAGCTTTGACAAACTTACCCCAATCGCCGTACTTATTCATTGTGGAGTGCAATTCCCTCAACGTTGGAACGTGCTTCGAGTATTTCAGCAATTTGAGGCATTCCACCAAGCGATCATGATAGATTCTAATGAAATGATCGAACTCCTTGACCTTGATGTCCAGTGCGGCTGATGTGGTTATCATATACCAAAGATCTTGAGCGGGAGATCCCCACTTGCCCACCTGCAAATCCACAAATATGGTGCGCTCTTCGGGTCCATCATCTGTGAACATTATATTATTGCACCATAGATCACCATGATTCAAAACATTGAATTCGTTTTCGTCCACTGCGTTCAATGCAAGGCCTCTATCAAAGTACTCCGTGACACCTGGTGCCATCGCAATATATTTCTCCACATCCGGCATTTGCCACTCCCTCATAGCCCTGAAATATTGTTGCATTCGCATATTCCCTATCGTCTCAAAAATTGGACGATTGCTCTCTGCATAAAATGAATCCAAGTACATCTGTTCATAGGGTCCATTTTGTTCATAGTTTACAACTGAAGCGGCATGAAACTCAGCAATTTTTCTCAATACTCTCCTCATGTGGGGCATGTCAAGACCCTTAAGTCGATCAATGTTGTGGAAATTTTGACGCTTCAGATCCTCCAGCACCAGAGTAATGCACTCTGGTGTTTGCTCAATGTGCACACATTTGGGCGCCAATTCAATGTCAACTCCGGCATCCTTGTAAAGTCTGTTATAGTTGGGAATGTGCACCTGATACATCTGCATTTCCTTGGGAAATAAATTCATGGAAGACACAAGAGCACCGCCCTTATCCGAATCCAGCATTGTCTTCAAAATATATGAAATCTGTTTTTCACTTCCATCTATTAAAACAGAACATATTTATTTCGATAGCTTAAGTGACTTGGAGAAAGTGACTGTAGACTAACCTTTGAGCTCTATGTCGATGACAACACGCACCATAATCGATGTGTAGTTTTCACCTGGTTGTGTTGCCGCAATGGGATTAAAGTTTTTGATACTCATAAAATCTGGTACATCTTTCTCTATAATGGGACGAAAGTAGTCCTCATTTATCCATTTGGGTATGGCAAGAAACTCGTTGGGATTCACAGGTTTACTAGAATCGCTGTTATTATTGGGTGCCATCTTCTGCAAGAATGATATCAAATATATCACATATCCAATAAATTCAATGATCACTTTATACCGTTAACAACATATGGGATAATTATTAAAATAAAATACATAGTCGTTCTCATAAAAAACTGGTTTGTAATTGTTCATAGTTATTATTTTTTTCAATTTAAATTAACTTACGGAAATTGACAATATATTGTTGATGAAGAATTCCAATCGAAGCGCTCAAGAAATAATTGTCCAGCTTTAACAAACTTTAAACGTATACTGAACGCTCGTTGCCGAATGCTACTTGATAAAATACTATTGATAAACGTAGAAATGTAGTAAACCTGTATCTACGTGCATACACCATTAACTGGTCGTGGCAACTGTGTAGAAAAATTACTTTCTTGCTGTCATCACTATGACGTTCTAAGTACATAACAGGTTGTGGCTCGGTTTTTTGTTTGGGGGATCGTCAGCTCGACTTATTATATTCAATGTTGTTTTTGTCATTTTTAATAATGAAATACACGGCAATATGAATTTATTCTAGATAATATATTTTAGTACATGCGTATAGTTCACATGAGAAATAATTAAGTGAATTATATACGTACTAAATACGTCATTGAAGTTCACTTGATAAGAATATTGATAGAAAATCATATGATTAGCTTATTCTACATCACTTGAAAATTTTGAGCTATTTCTGATGAAACTTTGAAAATCTTCGTCTTTTTGCAGCAGGCCGTAGATACATCGAATCCAAATTGAATCACTATATCATATTTCCGGACTAAACTTAGTCAATATGCGTTTTAAAATGCTCCAGGTACAGGAGCATCATCTTGCCTACATGGACATATTGAATCCCATTCTGGGGCACAGCTGCAAAATCTTGGATTAATCAAATTCAAGTCTTGCAGAACAAGGTGCTCAGAGACATCTCTGGTGCTCCACCATATGTGAGCAACAGAACGCTGCACAACGACTTCGGATTGCTGACAGTCAGTCAACAAATTAACAGACATACGAGTCGGTATAATGACCGGTTGCACAACCACGTCAACCCTTTGGCCTGCTCACTTGGGTCGAATACAACACGCAGGAGGTTGAAGCGCCTCCACACCAGCGACCTCTGGACTGTAGGGCGTTAAATAAATGTGCCGCAAATGTAATTCTCGATATTATTTATTATTATTATTTATTATAAAAACTGTCTCATGTTTATGTTATAGATTGTAATTCATTTATGTTATAGATTGTAATTCACTGTCATTATTCATTCTGTTACAAATCAATGTTTTATAGCCTTTGAATAGGTTGATTAATGTTTAAAATATAAATGCCACATTAAAAAAAAAAAAAAAAAAAAAATACTCCTCGCATTTTCACAAAAAAAAAAAAAATCATTTCTATAACAATAACAATAAATCATTTTAAGAAAAGTTTATTTCGGGTGACAAACCAAATTTAAAAAGGAATGTACCATGTGTTGTTTGGCTTCACGAATGATTTCTGTGGTTGTGTGACTGATATACAAATGAGAAATGAATAAATAAAATACGAAATCATTTATATTAATTTCTTTGATTTTGTTTTGTTCTTTGATTTATATAATGAAACACGAATTAAAATTCATATTTTCATAGATCAACTAACATATCTAAAGATGTAGGTAACAGTGTACAAGCTTCAGTAAATATCATACTCGATTTCAATCTTTTGTACTTGAATTTATGCAAATTATGATTTGATTTAAGTGCAAAGTTTATAATGATGGGCAACATAATTTTTTGTAAAATGTACAGCGAATTGTTTAATTTTATTTACCGACATAATAGTCCCATCAATACCATATTTACACCATACATAACAGATAAATACATATATCAAGCTAATATCCTTATGGATAGCATTTGTTTTCAAAGGACGATAAAGATCTAATAGCGGAAGGCCCTCGCCCTCGGGTCCCGCTGTAATCATCAGATTTATACTGTCATCCTTATCAGACGGTATTTTTATGGCAACCAGAATGCCAAGCACTTTTAGTGGTCCTATAATAACATACATAGAAGACTTATCTGACTAATTCATTGTGAATTTTGAAAAACGTACTATGCTTATTCATCGTGAAGTGCAATTTCCTAAGAGTTCCAAAGTGCTTAGAGAATTTCAGAAATTTGAGGTATTCTACAGTAGACAACACGCACCATAATCGAAGTGTTGTTATATACACAATAATTAAAAAACCGAACACCGATCTGTTATTTATTTACAACACTATAGCGTTGACAGCAAGAACGTTATTTTCCAATTGATGGGGGTATATGCTATTTTATTCTATAGCAAACGGTAGGTGCTCCGTTAAAATCGAGCACAAAACGTCTGCAATTATCAGTGTCTAAGACAACCTTTCTTAATTGTTTTAAATAAAGTACATTATCATCATATAGACGCTCTAAGCGCTGAGTTTCTATTTGTGGCTAAAGATTTGTATGGTTATTTCTTGGCTGAAAACCTGGAAATGCATTTAATGAATTATTGTGTTTTGCTTTTAGCACAACTCAAGAAAATAAGGAAATGTGATAAAAATGAATGAATTTGACTTTATATTGTCATGTATATGCATAAGTCAAAGTCAAGAATGAAAGCCCGCTTAATTGTATAATTAAATAGAAATAATTATAATAAAGCAATTACATTTATTGTAATCATCTTATTATTGCACAATTTCGAAATAAGTTGAAGATTTCAATTCATGATTCTGTGATTACATTATTTTAATTAAAATGATGATGATGAAAATAATGAATTAAATTTCCATTGATACAAGCGTCAGTAAATAACATACTCGACTGTAATCTGTTGTACCCTAATTAAATTCAAATTAGTTTCGCTTCGCTTTTGCTAGTCATCGTTATTTTCGCTTGACCAGTTTTGTTTGGCTTTGATTGAAGTAAATACGAATATAATTATAGAAATAATTTTTATAAAATTTACAGAAAGCCGTTTTATTTTATTTATTGACATAATAGCTCAATCAATACCATATATACACTATTTATAACAGATATATATATAGAGAATATCCTCATAGAAGACCCTTGTTTTCAAAGAACGGATACAGTTGCCGCATAGCCTTGACATAGTATGGATTAATGAAGGTTTTATAGCGGAAAGCGTCACCTTCGGGACCAGGCGTCATCATCATATCTATACTCGAATCCTTGTCGGATGGCATTAGTATGGCAACCATAACGCTATTCGCTGTTAATGTACCTATAAATATATAATTATAAAACTTAATGTGACTAATTCATTATGAGTTTTGACAAACTTACCCCAATCGCCGTACTTATTCATTGTGGAGTGCAATTCCCTCAACGTTGGAACGTGCTTCGAGTATTTCAGCAATTTGAGACATTCCACCAAGCGATCATGATAGATTCTAATGAAATGATCGAACTCCTTGACCTTGATGTCCAGTGCGGCTGATGTGGTTATCATATACCAAAGATCTTGAACGGGAGATCCCCATTTGCCCACCTGCAAATCCACAAATATGGTACGCTCTTCGGGTCCATCATCTGAGAACATTATATTATTGCACCATAGATCACCATGATTCAAAACATTGAATTCGTTTTCGTCCACTGCGTTCAATGCAAGGCCTCTATCAAAGTACTCCGTTGGATTTGGTGCCATCGCAATATATTTCTCCACATCCGGCATTTGCCACTCCCTCATAGCCCTGAAATATTGTTGCATTCGCATATTCCCTATCGTCTCAAAAATTGGACGATTGCTCTCTGCATAAAATGAATCCAAGTACATCTGTTCATAGGGTCCATTTTGTTCATAGTTTACAACTGAAGCGGCATGAAACTCAGCCATCTTTCTCAATACTCTCCTCATGTGGGGCATGTCAAGACCCTGAAGTCGATCAATGTTGTGGAAATTTTGACGCTTCAGATCCTCCAGCACCAGAGTAATGCACTCCGGTGTTTGCTCAATGTGCACACATTTGGGCGCCAATTCAATGTCAACTCCGGCATCCTTGTAAAGTCTGTTATAGTTGGGAATGTGCACCTGATACATCTGCATTTCCTTGGGAAATAAATTCATGGAAGACACAAGAGCACCGCCCTTATCCGAATCCAGCATTGTCTTCAAAATATATGAAATCTGTTTTTCACTTCCATCTATTAAAACAGAACATATTTATTTCGATAGCTTAAGTGACTTGGAGAAAGTGACTGTAGACTAACCTTTGAGCTCTATGTCGATGACAACACGCACCATAATCGATGTGTAGTTTTCACCTGGTTGTGTTGCCGCAATGGGATTAAAGTTTTTGAAACTCATAAAATCTGGTACATCTTTCTCTATAATGGGACGAAAGTAGTCCTCATTTATCCATTTGGGTATGGCAAGAAACTCGTTGGGATTCGCAGGTTTACTAGAATCGCTGTTATTATTGGGTGCCATATTCTGCAAGGGTGAAATCAAATATCCATTTTTAAATTAAGTGATCACTTTAGGCACTTAACATTATATGTGACTATTATTAAACAGAATTTATATTTGTATCTACAAAAGTTCTCATCGAAAAAAATAGATTTTTATTGTTCATAGATACCGATATGAGTTATTTTTTTTATTGAAATGAACTCACGGAAATTGACTTTGTAATATAACAAATAATTAAGAATTTCAAGCGACGTGCACGATTAACAACTGTCCGACGTTTACGAACGTTAAATAGATACTGAATGCTCGTTTCTAAAATCAACTTTATACAATACTACCGAGAACCGAGAGACGAGGAGCGAAATTCGGTTTTGTGGATTGCCCCTTGGACAAAACAGGTTGTGTGCTAAAATGTCAGTAATTTTATTTGGAGGTACATATATACATATACATATACCGAGCAAGCACGATATACATGATTGCCTGTGTCATTAAATAGGTTTGACTGATCACTGTCTAGGACAGATTAAAGTTTTTTGTTGTATTTTTTATTATTTGTTAGGGGCAGTTGATCGTGACTTCCACAACCTAGTATTCGTCCCAGTTTCTCAATTGGCGCGTGCGAATCTGTTTGCGGTTGGTCCACGACATGATAATCAAAATTAATTGATATAGGCATAAATATATATACACATATGTATTGGTGAAATTTAATGCGTTGAGACAAAACACGAAAGAAAAATACCCTATATAAATTGAAATAAAAAAAAGGGAGTCTGACAAACTTGGATAGGTTGAAAATTTTTTAAAGTTGTATGTTTTATGTTATAGTATTTAATTTTAATATCCATGTTTGCTGAGATACCTTAGCCCTACACACAGGGTATCTTCAAGTCGAGCACACTTGACAACAGTATTGTTACTGGCATCTCATGTGACATTTATAGAAAGAAATTTGAAACGTAGTATGACTAAACATTCTCAATATGGGCAAGTATTGGATAAACGCAGTGTATATATAAATGCAGGCGGCTATTATTACAGCGTTTAATTGTTTTAGCTTATGACAGAGGTCAAAATTATTATCTTTAAGTTGTTGTAACTAGATAAGTACTTATCAGCCTCAAAAAAGTTTTAAACTAACATTATTGCGACTAGCATTTTATTGTATATACACATGATAAATACACTATTCATTCTTATCCTAATACAGCTACAATAGAGCCCCACAGCACTTCAAACCTATCTGCTTTCTACATACAAATTATTACTATTGTATAGTATATACTATATACTATATATACATACTATTGTTATCTTACTAATCTGATATGACTATTCTAATAAAATACGTTTCTCGGTCAGATGACAGAAGTACTAAAACTTGAATTTCAATAGCCTTGACTCCAAGGCAATGGAACTTTCAATCAATAAAAACATTTTTTAATCACTTTATAATTCTGTAATGAATATTAGAATGTATTGGAGGAATAAGTTCCCAGCCCTATAAAGTATATGTATTCCTGATCAGCATCAGACAGCCGTTATAGTCAGTTGAACTAGTCTATCAAAGTTATCTCGATGAAACTTGGAATGTATCCCAATATTTTTCTGCAGGCAGTACTAAAGTCGGAGTCGATGGGGTATGGGCTTCATTATATTATATATTATATCTGTCATAGATTAAGATAGCCGTGCTTTCTTATTTCTGCTTAATAAAACAACCTATTGGAAGAAGAACACAGGGATCTTTAATCCTTATGAATTGTTTACATATTTGCATTTGGCGCTCTTTTAATAAGTAGTTGTTGACTTCAGCTGATCATTATTACCTTAGAAATCATTGATAAAGATAACATACCTACACTCGAGCTCAAGTTTTTTTTTAACAATTCATACCTTTATAGTATCCTTTATTTTTCTTTCGATAATGGGACGAAAATAGTCCACATTTTGGGTATGACAAAAATATCATTAGAATGCATTAGTTTATTTAACTTTTTGCATACAAACGCATTTTTAAAATCAATTTGTTAACTATCGCCACCAACGTACTCTGTTTGAAATGATATAAGTAATGACGCTAGTTAATTATTCTTTTATATATAAGAGTTGAATTACAGGCATAGAAATATCTCGAAACAACTTGAGTTTTATAGCCATCAGGGTACTTTACAAGATAAGAATTCAATATATCTCTCGAATGGTTTTGTTATTCAAGCGTGGCTTGTTCTTCTTTCTGCTTAGAAGTTATCGTAGCCCCTAGATAGTAGTGGCATACTTGACTTGAACAATTTTCAATTACATAATACACTCATACAAAATACGTGCTTTATTTGCAGTTCCAGTGAGGAGAACGAGCATTGTGAATCAGACTCTATAGTTGGCAAGCGCAAAACAAATACTACAGAGCCGATTCGTATTAAAAATAAACTGCCTAACATTGTGTGTATAAGTGAACAATTTTTATCATACTTCTGTCAAACTTAACAACCTCATCAAATTCATATCTTGTTTTTCTTATGAGAAGTTTGCTTAGCATCTGCTATGCAAATAGATAAACAAATAAAAAAACGGCTGCTATTAACAGTTAAATATCAGTTTTGCCCTTCATTGATCCACTCAATAATTCTATGAAGTTCATCAAATTGATCATTTTTTCTTGGAGTTAATTAAAACGAATCTTAACAGTAATATGACTTAAATGAAATCTATATATTTCTTTTTTTTTTTGAGAAAAATGTATCATTCAAGATTGAATGCCTTATTATTATTTCAAATTGTCTGAATCTATTATCATCATTTTCTTTTCTACGACAACTTGAAAGTGAAGTTAGAAAGCATTTGAAATTATATTTGGCCTAAAATATAATGTAATCAGCAGGTCATTTCAACATAAAATCATAATGTTAATGGTTTCATGAGTTTCGACAAAATTTCGGGTATTCCTATAGTTCTCAATACTTTTATTTCGTATAATAATAATACATTATATGTATTGCGTGACCAAAACATGATCCCATACATGGGTACATATCATAACTCAAAGTCATTCGCATTTGCTTTGTTGGAATGCTAATTAGTTCCAGTCGAGAAGACCGCGATTATCCAACCATGGTAGAATTTCGGTCATTAACTGCACATATTTCTGATTGGTGTACATGGCGACCTTAACCTTTGACTCGTCATTCTGATAACTCTCCGAATTATTATGGTCGGTCTTATCCAGCATGACAACGGGCAGTACCTTGGACACGACCATATATGCTAAAAGTGTGAATAATATTAGATAAATTTCTCTATAGAATATATTTAGAATGCTTACCCGCCAATCCATTGCGAAGTAGAGCCGCATGCAAGTTCTTCAGCTTGGGCAAGGGGCGATGGTATTGCAAGAACTTAAGATTATCAATCAAATGATCGAAATAGTATCGCACCATATAATCGAATTTGGTAATTTTAATATTCGGTGCCGCCGAGGAAAGTATCAGATAATATAGATCATTTGCCGGCGAACCATATTTGCCAACTTGAAAGTCAACAAAAAGCGTTTCCTTGATCTTGCCAAAGGCATCATACTGAAACATAATGTTCAAGTTCCAACAATCGCCATGATTCAGCACATTGAACTCCCTCATTGAAACCTGCTGATCCTGCAGCAAACGATCCACTAAATGCTCATCGCTGTTTGCCTAAAGAAAAATGAATAATTTTCGTACTTTTTATAAATTATACTTGACGTAATATTTCCTAGTGAACCTACCAGCTTCTCATAGATCTTCTGGCAGTTCTTCCATTTCTTGAGCTGTGCTAGAAATGCGCCAGAGGCATTGAACTCTTGAAGCAGCTGACGATTCACTTCACTGAACACGCCCACCGTGAACTCCTCCCCTAACATACCGTTTTGCTCCACGTAGCAGGCGGAGGCAGCATGGAATGCAGCCAGCTTCTCGAGCACGTGCTGCATATGATCGAGATCCAGACCCGCCAATCGATTGGCATTCTTGAAGCTCTTGGTACGCAAATCTTCCAGCAGCACATAATCAACGCCAAAATCCTGATCAATCTTATATGCCTTCGGTGCAAATTGTATGGGCTTGCCAGCCTCCGCATAGAGTTTCTCGAATTTTGGCAGAATGTTGTGATACATTTGCTCCTCCTTCTGGAAAAGACGTAGCCTATTGAGTATGTTGGCCATTACTTCATTATTATGCTGAGCCTTCAGTACAAATGAGACGTTCTTGGTGCTGTGATCTGTGATGTGGATATAAAAAAGTTTATTGCTCTATTATCGTTTTATCACAGACTACTCAATATTAGATCAATTTTAATTATCACATTCTCTAAATTATTACCTACTTTGTCATATATACCCCTTGAATCGGATACAATCTTTTGACTATCATAACTTTGTCAAAATTGAACCACTTTTTTAAATCAATAGATTTTTGGGATATGGCCTGTTCTCTAAAAAATGACTACTTTTTAATTTGGATTCATCCACATAAGCAATTATTGTACCATTTGCCTTAAAATAAACTCACATTGAGTAGATGTTCTTGTGCACTGTTCATATCCATTAATAGTTCACCCATTGACACCCTTATCAACTCAACCAATCAAAATGTCAATAATATAATCAAATTTCTAAGGGAAGCTTGCTTATTTGACGAAATTATATATAATATAATAATTAAAATGAGCTACGTAATCTCTAATTGTACATCGACCTGCAATTAAAATCGTCGTAGAGTTTTAAAAATAATTTATAATTATAAGACAAAAATGTCTACAAATTAGAAAAGCTAGAAATGCAAACTCTTATTTTAAGAAAAAATTCTTTCTGAAATTCAGAAATAGGTATTTAAGTATTTTACTAGATTGGATCTCATATTAGAGTTTAGTTCGAATCGACGTAAAATCGTATTATTAATTATATTATTATTAATAAGATCAACTTTGCGGCTGAGCTTACAGTTCTTTGTAAACATATGAAAAGCACCCTGGAAATTAGACACGTTTTTCTTAATTGTTAGAAAAATTTAGCCTGAAAAGAAGAACCCTGGTTTTAGAAATTCAGATAATACGGTGAATTACAATTGGCTCCAAAAGTATGGCGAATATCTTCAATTCATTACGATTTTTTTCTGAGTGTAGCTTTTATCTGTTTACCAGTTAAATCAATAGATTTACTATTATAATGTAAATAATCATTAAAACCAATTATCAATTTATTTATAAATTGAGTAATATAAATAATCGAAGAAATCATTTTCTTAAATTATTTGTCAGTTATTTCATCAGCACTAATAGGCCTAAGTTGGCAATGCTTTACTCTATACTTCTACTATACTATAAACTACTAATGCTCTATGCATACTAGTATATAAATTTACTCTATATAATTAAAGTTTACCTGAAAAATATACCCGCTATTAAATATGAGAGACGCTCTTAAAGTTTTCACTGTGAATTCAAATTGACGCTTAGCGTTTATTATTGTGCAAATATTCCTTTGACAATTCTACTTACCCAGCAGCTCCACTTCCACCAGCAGTCGCACCATCAGTGTAGAGTAATTCTCCTGCGCATTTGTGGACTGCGGGTTTACGGAGAGTATCTTCTCAAAGTCGCCAATCTGGGCGCGTACCGCATTCTCCAGCGAGACTCGAGGTAGCCAGGATGGCAGACTGGTGTCCGTTGATTCAGCATGTCCATTTGTTTGGATGGCCTCTGACATTTCAGTACTGCAAGAAATTGGAGTAAATCCAAATGAATTATTGATCCGAAATGAAATGAAATAAATGTAATCTTTTGCCATAAATTGTTGCCCTGTTTGATTTATGCTTAGCAAACAGTTTATGTATTTTTTGATGATAACAAATTGAAATAATCTAGAATTTCCAAATTGTATAAGCCTATTTTTATTGTTATCATTATAAACGTTAGTTGATTATCAGTTTCTTTTCTTAATCGTCAGTTCCAAGCAATCTATTCTTACATTTTTATTCATTAATGGTTCACTTTTCTAAAGTGCAGTCACGCCCATATGCAGTTTAATTATAATCTTGTATTTGTTTTTGTCTCAACCAGATTTTTATAATTCGTCAATTATTATAATGATTTCAGCACACCTCAAACTCTTTATTACCTGCCGTATAAATGGAGACAATACTCTGATGGTATTTTATTAGCCAAATACCATATTTTCTATTTATTCTAATAAGATAAGTAGCAATACTATTTTTTTTTTGTACAATGTTGTGTGAAGATAAAACTGAGTATTGATAAAAAATTTGAGGAAGAATACGCATAAGGAAAATGTATTTCAATAGGACCCTGTAAACGATTAGTGCAATAAATATTTGTATTTTAATAATATTATTAGACCTTAATGACAATAATAATGATTATAAAAGGTTTTATTTTTATTACTTTAGATTGCCATATGTTACGGTGTGGCTAATAGATAGACTACTGTGGGCTGTAGAATCTATATAAATATGTAGTAAATGTCGATCGAGATCCTACGAATCCTACAACTGTAAGAAAATGTATCTATACAAACACAAACAAACATGTCCAGGATTTAGTTATATTTCTAAATGATACTCAGAGCTGAAATTAATCTTTCTTACATGAGTTGCTATTTCAAAATACTAAAAAGAAAATTCTGTATTGTTGCCAAGCCAAATTCGAGAATTTCCCTATTACATTCAGTTATTAATTGCTTTTCACATTTTTATCAAATATTGTTTTTTACCGACTGACATATGTTTGTACGTATTCCAATATTGATTAGGTCATTATCAAGCCAATAATTAGAAGGGACGCAACACATAAATCAGGTCACATGTCAGTTTTTAACAACATTGAAATCAGCATTTTGGTTTATTTTATGCTAAGAGTCTTTACGTATGATCTTGGCTATCGCATTTAAGTATTCTTCACTTTTATTCACTCTATATTTTTTTTTTTACAATACTCTTGATATATATCTTTTTACTAACTACACTGCAATTCAAATTTGTTTTGTTGCAACTTTACGTTGAGACTTCTATATCAACAACTCGATCTTCTCTCATCAACAACTCGAAAAGTCGAATATGGAATGTGGCACAAACCTTTTTCCTTAATTGACAAAATGAGAGGCTCGATGGATAAATTGTTAGCACGATCGAATGCAGTTCGGTCAACGGTTGATTTCAAATGACGGTCGTGCGATACTTGCGACTTTCAGCTTGTCCCTATTTGGTATTAGCCAAAGAAATTTCTTATCACCACTGTTCCATTCAAGTTGATTTTGTAATACAGTTCGGCAAAAAATCACCAGTGAAATCGTCACTCGCACGCAAACTCTACGAGAATGATTTTAAAATAAACACTTGATATGGGGCGTCGTCAATTGTTGTATTGATAAGGCTTGGTTGGTAAAGCGAGTCTCTCCATTTACGTGTATTTCTCCTATCGTTCTTTCGCTTTGCGCTCTAATTATTGGGTGATTCTTTATTAATTGCTTCTGCTCGTGTCGCGAATGTGATTCATTTAAACATGTGATAGACAACAATCTATATACATACACACTCCAACACATACAAATACATATGCAAAGTAGTATTTGTGAATAATACTTTCATCAAACGTATGGGTAAAGCAAAACTATTGTAAGTTATGAGAAGTTTATAGATTTTTGGTAATACAACAAATGATGAATACTGCGTACATATATGGAGTTATATGTTCTTATTGCTAAATACATATATTATATGTATCTGTTACGTATATAGTGCTTAACAATTATTTTTTATTTGATTTTACATTTTGATGAATATGCTTAGTTTCCAGCTTAACAACATTAGTGCTCTCTTCTGTTATCAAAAATTCTATTCAAAATGACTTTGCATGCTTTCCTTGGATAATCCACAATTCATTCATACTAACTCCCGAAATGAATACCCAATTCAGTCATACTGACTTTCAAACTTGATTAATTTATTAGATTAGATTATTACATTAAAATGGTTCATATGAGTTTATTGTAAATCATAAGAATAATACAAGTCTGATAAGGAATATTGGTATGATGTCGACGAGCAGTTCCAGGAAAAGTTCTAAGCAGCACAGCAGTCTCCGTCTCCGAGATAGAGTTACACTGGTGGACACAAAAATAGGGCAGTGTGGAAAGCTAAAGAAAGCAAAAGGAAATGCGCAAATAGAAGAGCGCGTTAGTTTACATTGCACGAGTAAAACAAAGAATTGAACTCTCAGCAATGTTGGAAACTTTGCTTGTGGACACTTGAGTAAATTTGGGAACTCAACGAGCTGCTCAAGATAAGACATGATAAAGTAATTGAATGATTTAAATTTAGATCAAGCTTCGTGGAGCTCCGAAACTAGATGAGGTCATTTGCAATCGAGCTGTAGCGACGCAATTGGAATCCCCAAAATAAATAGTGCTGAACTCACCAGATACATTGTACTGGAAGAAAATATGATTATACAGAAAAGTGAATCAGAACTTAAAATGTTCCGACTCCGATTCAGACTGTAGATTAACATTTTGAATAGATTATTTGATCAAGGTATATTCATTACCAAGAAAAGGCTATGACTTAAAAATGTCGGCTTTTTTGCTATCGGTAATATATATTTATCTAATAATAAGTATAATTATATATTAATTGTTGAAAATAACAGTCAAAATTAAGATTCAAGCAATGAGAGCAACTTAACTTAGAAGAATACAATTCAAAAGAGAAACATAATCCATGCGCGACCCGAGCTTCGATATTAATCGATGAAACGATACATAAGTATTAATCGTTGATGCGATTTTCAAACATATTTCAACAATAATTATTAAAATAAACTAGACCTGTGTATGGTCTACGAGAATTTATATTCCAAATTTGAAGTCTCTTGCTCTCTAACAGTCTCTGAGAAAGCGACTTTTAAAAATATAGGCGAACAGTTGAACAGACATGGCTTGTCTTTTGATACTGAGCAAGAATAGATATGTTTACTGGATAATTTGGTTTGAGATGCTTCTGCCTGTTACATACATTTCCAAATGATTTCAGGGTATTTTAAAAATTTACACTTAATGTAGATTAATATGTTATCACAAAAACCCATTAATTTTTTTTTATTTGATGACCTCTTAGATTAATCTTTTATATAGTTAGTTATAGTTATAGAACTCAAATTTAAATAGAATTTTTCTCAGTTTTGTTTTTGGTATAACTGTCTTTGCCAGCACCTACACTGTTCTTATTTTACTAGTCATTCAATGACTTTTTCTGCCAACAACACTTCACAAAAGCTTAAAAACAGCTCTAAGATTGTGTATCAGCATTTTGACTTGCTAACAAATACAAAGGGCCAGAGATATTCCAAGCATTTGTTTGATATTGCGATACGCATGATAATAAATCGATAAATAGTAAACAACTCGGTCATTTATCTATACAAAGCTAAATAACAACAATAAAAGCATGCGATTTATTTTTCTGCATATTCCACACCGATCGTGTAAAAAACTCAGAAAGCGTCAGACTACCAGTTACTCCAGGCATTAAGTTTAGGGTATCTGCAAGACGCTAATTCCCGGTGAGAGAATTTTTACTGTTTGTTGTGAGATGATTCTTCCGATTATTTTAAAGTATACGCATATGTGTCTGTGTATCTTGCTAACCTAATTTCGTATTTATGTTTCTGGTTTCTCGTGAATTCTTATTTGTTGTGATACGTTGCTTCGGTTTCGGCTTAATGAATTCTTTAGTTACTATTAGTGTAAATATTTGAATGAGTATAAAAGTGTTTATTAGTTTGACATGCTTATTAAGAACCTGGGTTAACATTTTGTTTGATGTAAGTACAGGGAATAAATAGTTTTTCGATACTAAAATGTGAATTTCAATGGATTGAAGTAGCCGATTAAAATTCGTGAACCTTACCTCTTATGGAACCAAAACAGTGTATATAATAATTTAAGACCATTTTTGGTCAAGTTTAATACTCCATAGCACCACGATTGTAGAGCCAAGGCAGAATTACTTGAATGTGCTTGCGATAGCGAGCATTGGAGTAGAGAAAAGTCTTCGAATCGTTGCCCTCAGCAGAGTCACTGAGGATCTTTTCAACACTGGCGGCCTCCGTGCGGTCCAATAAAACTGCGCTCAGAGCACTGGTAGCAGTTGCATAGCCTTCGAAAGGAAGAGAAAATCGTATTGTGATTACATTATAAATAAGCAGATAGACTTACCCCAAAAACCATTTTTGAAGAGAGATATGTGAATATCACGCAATGTGGGAATTTTATTATACTTAAGGATCTTTAAATTTTTTGCTAGATTTTCATGGTAGAACTTAATATAGTAATCGAATTTAGTCAACTTATCCTCGAACTTTGTCGAGGAAACCAAGAAGTAGTACAAATCTTGAGCGACTGTTCCAAACTTTGGCAACTGGAAGTCAATCAAATAAAAATCTTTGATCTTGCCAAAAGAATCATGTGAGTACATCATGTTGTTGCTCCAAAGGTCACCATGATTCAGGGCATTAAATTCACTTGGATCCACTTTGACATTTTTAAAAACTACATCAGTCAGATTGGGGTGCAGAGCTCTCTGTATCAAAGGTTTTCAAAAGAATGAGATGTAATTGAAATAAGAACTTGCTTACGATTTGCTCTATGTACTCCTCATTGCCCTCGTATGTGGCACAGCACGTTACAAACTTCGCTGTATTGTGTTTGTTCATCTCCCTTATCATAGCAAGATTTTTCTCCTTGTAGAAACTAGTCATTATATGTTCCGGGTAGGCTCCTTTGGTCGCTACCCGCACAGCGGATGCTGCATGCCACATCGATAGCTTTTGCAGAGCAGATTCTGTATGAACCTGGTCCAGACCCTCAAGCCGATTGTTATTTTTAAAACCCCTAGGTGCTAGATCTTCCAGAAGAACATATTCACTCTTGACATCCTTCAGCGTATAGAGTTGAGCACCAAATTTCACCTCTACACCGGCATCCCGATACATTTGTTCCATTTCGGGCACATATATATTATACATTTGGCGCTCTATCTGAAAGATATTATTATTTCCCATCGCCTGAAACATTTCCGTCTGATGGTGGCACCTTCAACATATACGACATAGACTTCTCTTTGCCATCTGAAATATAAATGTAATACATATTCTTTAACTTTTATACAGTATTTATTTTATTACCATCCAGTTCAATTTCAAAATTCACTCGCAACATAATCGTCGCATAGTTTTCACCCGCTGCCACACCGTTGCTGACCTTGAAACTTTTGATTTTTGAGAAACCCTTAACCGACTCTTTCAGTACGTCCACAAATTGTTCGGCTTGTACCCAGTCGGGCACTTTGCTGGTGGTCACATCGGTTGTTGTGTCGGCAGACATATTTTGTTTATTTTTTAATAAACAATTTAAATTAATAACGCAGGCGTGACGCTTGACGCGGTTGTATTTCCGTTGCTCGCCAATGGGCTTCTAACGATTCTCTATTTATTGACCGGCTGTATACTGGAATAGAAAGCTTTCTGCTTTGTACGTTTGGCAAACGAGTTTTTGGTATACCCTTATAGCTGGTAATATAAATTTGACGTGAAGTGTTGAGCTCTGACAAGAGGCATCTCCATCCCCATAAAGTGGATGCATATATATATCTTTCATCTGTATGATCACGGCTGTTTCTTTGTAAATTATGCTCCCAACATATTTATAAAATCGTTATCAGCATCAGAATTCTTTAACATGTAGTTCCCGTAGGCAAAATCAAACGATTTTTTAAACAAATTAAAAAGGTAGTTTGCGGGTATTTTTTCTTCGGTGCGCCTAAGAGTGCTTCTATTTTTTTGCTTTTTGTATTAAAATATTTTGTTTGTGAACACGCATTGTTCGAGTTGACGAATTGTGCGTTTAATTTGATCAATTTAAATAACAAATTATAATTAACTTTACCTTCAAGTTTAGTTGTAGGTCGTTCAACTATTTTTATGTAATTTCATACATCCAACTTATCATGCTTATATCTACTATATTATTATCTTTGGGAGCCGCTTATTTATTTACCTGTTACATATGTTTTGTTGTGGTTAGCTATTTCCAGTTTGAAAGCTTTCAAGAAAGCTCAGCTGACTTAGGTTTTCCCTACTTATCTATTACTTATCTGTTTTTAGACCATTGGCAAATTACTTCCTTATATAGACATTGTCTGATTGATAAATTCCCATTAAAATCCAAACTAAAGCCCCAACACAAAACATTATTTGATTAACACTTGCCAATTGCGTTATCTTTGCACAAAACAATAACTGGTCACTGGTGAAATT